TTGTTCAGCGCTTTACAATATAAATGTAGACAATACAGCAGCAATACAGTTCAATACAAGAGGGAAAGGAGGGCCTGATCCTTGGAGCTTACAATCTAACAGATTTATATCGCGCCAACAGTTTGCTCAGCTCTTTACAATATAAAGGTAGACAATACAACAAAAATACAATATAATACAAGAGGGAAAGGAGGGCCTGATCCTGGGAGCTTACAATCTAAGAGATTTATATAGCGCCAACAGTTTGCTCAGCACTTTACAATATAAAGGGACACAATACAGCAAAAATACAGTTCAATACAAGAGGGATAGGAGGGCCCTGCTCCTTGGAGCTTACAATCTAAAAGATTTATATAGCGCCAACAGTTTGCGCAGCGCTTTACAATATAAGGCTCCATGTACACGGGACACTTCTGAACGATGGAAGCTGACTGCTGGAAAACGTAGGTTAAAAACCGTCTGTTTAGCCGCATTTCCATACCGCGTTTATGCGCGTTTGCGTTTAGAAGCGTTTTTTTAAAGATAACCTCAGGAGACCTTCCAAAATGTCCAGAATGCACTGAAAAACAGTAAAAAAGTAACTATTTCGGACATTTTGAGATCAATAGAGAGAGCAGTATTTGTTGAGATTAGCTGTCTTTTTTTTTGTGTGGTGTTTGGATGTGTTCCAGCTCATTTCTGTGCAGAAATTATTACAGCAGTGTCTAACATATTTTCTTTCATGCAAAACCTCAAAGTATGGTGTACCAGGTCCATTTGAGTACCGGGAAAACGCTTTGCATGCATTTTTCATGATGAAAAAAGGCTCCGGACAGCATCTGGAAATGGAAGAGTTAAAAAAAAAAATTCCCAAACACTTATAAAACGCGGTTAGCCACGTTTGAAACGCTGATAAAATCTACTCCTGAACGCAAGTTTGGTGCGTTCAGAAAAACGACTGTAAACTCAACTGCCTGTAAACAACATAGTGTACATGTACATAGGAAAACATTAGGGAGATTTCAGGGGCTGCTGAAAATAACGCAGAAAAGCTCCTAAACACAAGTTTATCAGCTGCAGTGTACAGGAGCCTAAAGGGAGACAATACAGCAACAATACAGTTCAATACAAGAGGGTTAGGAGGGCCTGATCCTAGGAGCTTACAATCTAAGAGATTTATATAGCGCCAACAGTTTGCTCAGCACTTTATAAAATTAATTTAGACATTCCAGTTACAATATAATCTGGTACAAGAGGTTACCATATACATTACTATCTGATCATACAATCAACAATTAGATTACCAAAACTATGTCATATGATGACCTACCTAATCTATTTAGTCCTCATGCACACTGCACATTTTTACAGCTGCTTTTTTTGGCGTTTGATAGTTTCCTGTGTCCATGCACACATAGACTTTAATCAACGTTTTTTGGCTGGAAAAAAAAACAAAAACTAATGGGTTTCTAGAGGAGTTTTTCAGCTGTAAAGACACTCTAAAAATACAGTAAAACGCCACAAACTGGCATTTTTGGACTTTTTTTGAGCAAAAAAACCCACTAAAAAACCAAAACGCAGCAAAACGCTAATGCAAAAACGCTAAAAATAGCTGAAAAACTCACGTTTTTAACGTGATTTTACACAGCTAACCTTACCAGCGTTATCAAAAAGTCAAGTGTGCATGAGGACTAATATTTAGTAAGTCATTCACTACATTATAAAGGAGATTGTACAGTCAGATTGTAATGTGTGTGTGTGTAATATGTGTGGTGAGCCTTAAGCAGGCCATATATGGATCAAAATCCATCCAATTCAGCAGGGATCAGCCACATTTTAATCCATGTATTGGCTAGCTGATTGTACAAAAATCTGGCAATCAACTTGTGTACAACCAGCCTGTCGGGTTTTTCCTGAATGATCAGTGTCTGCCATCTATAGCCGGCAGCACTGATCATGGTATTCTGATGGCAGAGAACACCCTGTCAGAATACAAAACCACAGCAGGAGTGATAACCCGATCAACGTCATATATGTGGATGAGGGAATCTGATCAATTTTTTTTAATTCAATCCACTGGTTGAATAAAAAAAATGTTTAATAAATGAGCTGTCTTAGATCTATTAACAGCTATGCAATGGTCTGCATACAGATTGAATGGATAGATTACATAGATCCTTTTACCTAGTTTTGGTAGCACTAAGGTTACTTTCACACTGCTCTGTTGCAAAATTGCTGTAAAAACGCATGTGTGTTTTTGCAGCGATTTTTGCTGTGCTTCAGATGCATTTCTGGTGCATCTTTTGGTTGCCTGTACCTGTGAAAAATGGACATGTAGTTTAAAAAATGCACCAAAAACCGGTGCATTTCAGATGAATTTCTGGTGCATCTTTTGGTTGCCTGTACCTGTGAAAAGTGGACATGTAATTAAAAAAAACGCACCAAAATCCGGTGCGTTTTTGTTGTTTTTTCCCTTAATTTCAATGAGGAGCTGTATTTTTGGTGCAGTTTTCAAAACCGTACCAAAGATGCAGCATGCAGGATTTTTCAAAATGCACCGAACCTGCAGCGCAGGTTCCCCCAAGATTTAGAAGGAAACCTTTTTCTTGCAACTTTCTTGCAAGATAAAAACATATCAGTATGAAAGGGTTCTAAAGTCAGATTGTAATGTGTATGGTGAGCCTAATACATACAGGGGGAGATTTACTAAAACTGGAGAGTGCAAAATCAGGTGCAGCTGTGCGTGGTAGCCATTCGGCTTCTAACTTCAACTTTTTCAAATTAAGCTTTGACAAATAAACTGGAAGCTGATTGGTTTCTGTGCAGTGCTGCATCAGATTTTGCTCTATGCAGTTTTAGTGAGTCAACCCCATATCTCAAACGCACACCACCCGTGTCTGGGACATTACGCTGTAACCATGCGCCATATTACCCATGCAGCTGCGCAGGGCTACATACAGTCATCTGCAACTATGTCTATGGGTGGCTATGTGCAGCCCCAGGGATTCACTCTAAGTAGGAGTGTACCAATGTACAGATTATTGTTCTTTCTAAATTGGGGATGAAACAAGAGCAATTGGGGTGTTTAAAGTGTTACCAAACAGTAAAATCAGTCTGTATATGCAGTAAAGCATGCTTGTTATACTCCCTGCAAAACCTAAGGGGTTAATCCTCTGCATTGTGTAAAAAGCCTGTTTGATCCTGTGTGCTCTGATCCTCCCCTTCTTCCAGTGTCCCCCTCTTATCTCTTGATCAGACAGATTGTGTGGAGACACTCTACACATGCACAGTTTGGTGTGTGTATTGCTAGAGAGGGTTTTTTTTTTCCCTTGGGAGAGTGCATGTGATCAGCACAGGGCCAATCAGCACTGTCCAAACAGAGGTCAAGGGTTCTGCATCCTCCTGGAGAAAAATGAAACCGCCTTATACAAGCTTTAACCAGTGCTCTGCTGGATACTGATTGAATTCACAAGACTGCTCTAACTGTTGAAGATAAAAGGTATTTAGCAGTTTATATTTACTAAATTGCATTTCCATGTTGTGTGTACTGTGGGAGACCAGATATAGTGAATGCAGGGTCCTGGGTTTAGTAACACTTTAAGCACTGCAGATATTAGTGTGTGTATGTTGAAGTTGGGGTTGATTTCCATCTCAGCAGCCCTAGGTATAAGACTTGGTTCATAGCTACAGGTGCTACTGAGCATGTGTGCGTTTCCAATGCATCATATGTAGGCCAGCCCATTCATTGCAATTGGCTGACCTACATGCAAGAAACTTGGCAGTCCCTAAGGGCTTGTTCATACCGTAAGTTGCGCCTTAAGTGTGCACATTTATTTTTGTGCGTTTAGGGAAGCTCATTAATTTCAATTGGCTGCCCTCTGGGCGTGAAAAATAGTGCTGCACTAGACCGTATGGTGGCGGTTTCAAGCCCCCACGCTTTTGCCAGATGCATGGGGGCACCATTAAGAAATCTAGTCATTTGTGTCCATCTGCAGAAGGCAGCGCATGTTCATGTGATGAGGGAAAATCCACAACTGGTTGTGACTCAAAAATGCCCTGTACTAAACTACGTGGTGCCACGGCACCATGAAGTTTGGCGTATGCATTTGCAGATGTGCACTGCGCACATTTCTCTGCATTTCGGGAAAGTGTGTGATTTAACATGTAGGTGTGAACCCAGCCTAAGGGGTTAAAGAATATGTAAACCCAGCATATCATATTCCTATGTGCCTGCTGTACCATGTACTTGTATGAAAAAGTATCCTGTTCTTTGTATTGCTTCTTGTCTGTGAAATCCCTGGTGTTCTGCCAGTCCCTCTGCTTTCCTATTAAAACTGACCACACTATGCATGAGAGCACGGTGTGGTCAGTTCTCTAGCTTTGCTGGAACTCAGCCTGCTCTCCTTCAATGGTCAAACTTGTTCTGACGACACCACCCCCTTCCCCCCCCACACAGCCTTTGACTGGGGAGCTCTGTGTTCTACGGTTTCTCCTCTCCCAGCTCTTATGCAGCTGAGAACAGAAGATATGTGATTATGTGATCGTTTATATAAAAGGGAAAAGTTGTGTTTTATAATGATTTTTTTTTTTTTTTACATCTATACACAAATGTTTTGTTTTTAATTTTCTGTTTTAAACTGAATAGGTTGTTTTACAAAGTGGAGGGTTTACATATACTGTAGGCAGCACAGTGGCTAAATGGTTAGCACTTCTGCCTGGCAGTACTAGCGTTGTCGGTTCAAATCCCAACCACGGTACCACTTGCCTGGAGTTTGCATGTTCTCCCTGTGCCTGCATGGGTTTCCTCCGGGTACTCCGGTTTCCTCCCACACTCCAAAGACATGCTGGTAGGTTCATTGGCTTCTGTATAAATTGGCCCTAATATGTGTGTGTATGAATGTAAGTTAGGGACCTTAGATTGTACACCCCTTGAGGGTTAGGGACTGATGTGAATGTACAATATATATGTAAAGCGCAGGGGCGGACTGGCAACTCATGGGGCCCCCGGGCAATAGGGGATCATGGGGCCCCTGTGTCCTTGCCCAAACTCAAAAAAGCCTATGAAAAAGGTACCGGGGCATCTCATAGGGCCCCCTACTGACCCCGGGCCCTCGGCCAGTGCCCGAGTTTCCAAATGGTCAGTCCGCCCCTGGTAAAGTGTATAGAGATCTGCTCAATTTTCTCACAATGGTAAATACAGATCACTGTACGGGTTACATGCATGAACAGTAGAATGTGAAAATTGTAAACAGACAATGAAGAGCACATGCTGCATAGTCCTCTACAATCAGCTTCTCCTGGGATTCATAGCTTCTTGTATAGCATGCTGTTGCATGGATCTGGGGTTCATGAATATTCATGAGCTCAGTGTGGAGTGAAGGGAGGATTTTTACGTGTTGACAGTGAGCCCTGCTCTCCTCTGCAGCTGATTGGCTGGCTGTTGTAGAACCATATATGCTGGTGGCTCTGTGATAGGGTAGCTGTGCAGCTGGCAGCCCTCCCAGCGATCTGATTGCCTGTGAGTATAGAACCATGTCCCAGGTCCACGCTGTCAGTCCATGCCTCCTCTGCATACTGTCAGTGTGATAGGACAGGCCAGTCTACTGATCGGATCATGTTCTTTTGTCCAAAGTCATAGGGGAAAGTCCAAAGGCAAATTGGCAGAGTAGCCGTGTCACATCAGTAATATTTAAACACGTGAACTGTTCTGTCCTTATACAACCTTTCTTGGCTTTCCCTAAATAACCTTTTCATATGTCCTTATACAGCCTTTCACAAATTTGGTTAATAAAGCTGGAATGTTTTGACGTAACTGCGTTCGCTAGAGATTGGCAGTCAGATTTCATTTTTATCTTTGTGCCTCTGTAGATGTGCCTTTTTTTTAGTACATTACCTGGGGCAGACTGACCATTTGGAACTCGGGTCAGTAGGGGGCCCCATGAGATGCCCCTGGTACCTTTTTCATAGGCTTTTTTGAGTTTGGGCAAGGACACAGGGGCCCCATGATCCCCCTATTGCCCGGGGGCCCCATGAGGTGTCAGTCCGCCCCTGTACATTACCTTCATAGGCAATGCATATTTGAGATGTGGATTTATATTTTTACTTGTAACCTGCCAATGATTGTGTCGGTTTAACATTTTTCCTCTTATTATTTACACCCACCGGCCACTTTATTAGGTACACCTTGCTAGTACTGGGTTGGACGCCCCTTGCCTTCAGAACCGCCTTAATTCTTCATGGCATAGATTCAACAAGGTGTTGGAAACATTCCTCAGAGATTTTGGGCCATGTTGACAGGAGTTACTGTTGCCTTTCTATCATCTTGAACCAGTCTGCTCATTCTCCTCTGACCTCATCAAGGCATTTTCATCCACACATCTTCTGCTCACTGGATATTTTCTCTTTTTCGGACCATTCTCTGTAAACCCTAGAGATGGTTGTGTGTGAAAATCCCAGTAGATCAGCAGTTTTTGAAAAACTAAGACCAGCCCATCTGGCACCACCAACGTTCAAAGTCACTTCAATCTATTTTCTTTCCCATTCTGATGCTCGATTTAAACTTCAGCAAGTCGTCTTCACCATGTCTAGATTCCTAAATGCATTGAGTTGCTGTCATGTGATTGGCTGATTAGCAATTTGTGTTACCAAGCAATTGAACAGGTGTACCTAATAATAAAGTGGCCGGTGAGTGTATACGGTGCTGATGCTTTTGTACAGCTTTAGTTAAAGCTGAACTCTAGAAATGATTTGTATTGCCATACACCATACAATCTGATTGTACAATCTCTTTTAGCTCTCCTATCAAATATGTAGTACAAGGGCCCGCCTGATTGGATACTACATATTTTTAGTTAAGATAAATGAAATTACACAGTGTATGACCAGTTTACATTGGTCCAGCTGGGCACAAGGTAAGTATGCACATCTCATACAAGACGGGCCACTGAGAAAGCTGGAAATCACTGTAGTCTTCAGCAGTAGTAGATCTTATGGGTTCTGCCCAGGTTCTGTGCAAACAGCTGCTCCGCTGCACACTGACTACAGAAGGTCATTCACACCGCATTGTATTTTTTCAATGAATAAAAGGCTGTCTTTAATTGGACAAGGTAGAGAGAAGGAGTGATGGCGTCATTTTCACCAGGTTCAATCAGAAAACGCTGCGTATTTACTGGAAAAAAAAACTCACGATTTTGGTAGTAAACCACCAAAAAAAAAAATATTCCCCTGCAAAATAATGTCATATTGCACATTTATGAAAGACTTCCCTTAGAAGGAAGCCCTCCAGTGGTGCACTGTCACCGCTGACAGGGATTCCATCTTCATTCAGGTTCATGAGCTCTGGCCTCTTGGCTAGCTGACCCACGATGACGTCTTGGCCGCGGCACAAAGCACTGAAGGAACGGCACGGGTATGCTGCTTTTTCAGAGCGCATGCGCTGGTGATGTCATTCACATTGAATATCTCTTAAACGGTGCATGTTCTAGGAGATCTTCCTTGTACATGCAGGTGAGCTTTATTAAGTGTCCAGTGGGAAATTACTTCCACTTTAATGGCGATGGCGCAGTGCATGTGACCCCCTGGGGTTAGTGTACAGTAGTGAAGCCGCTGCATAGAATCCAGGACCCAGCAGATTTCAGCTATCACTGTAGTAGTATGACTTCTGTGATTTCCAGCTTCTCCTGTGGCTCACCAGGTATGGGTAATGCAAACTCATACCTGGACAAATATCTGCAATACAGATCATACCTGAAGTTAAGCTTTAAGGCCCATTCATACTTTTGTGTTGTGGCAATGACCCACAATGAATGGCAACGCACCTGCTTTTTGTTTCTATATGCAGTGCCATTCATTGTGAGTGGCACCCCAATACACTATATAGTAGAGTTCAATGCACTGCTGCACACCGCAACACACATACCATGCATTGTGGTGCACTGCGTTTTTTTTAATTTGTTGTGGTGCATTAGCAGCCTGTTCATAATGAATGGGCTGCCTCAAGGCAACACATGTTAATGCCTGCCGTAGAACATGCTGAAGTATCACAACATCACTTTAGTGTGAATGGGCCCTAAGTGTTGTCTGCAACTACATTGGTCCTTGTCCCTCTGATGTGACTATTGATCGTTATGCAGTTTTTAGCTCTGTATTTATATATTTCCCCCTCTGTTAGGTTCATTTACTGGAACCCTGTCCACTCTCCCGGTTCATACCCTGGGTAGCATAGTGATCGGTGAAGTGCTGAAGAGAGCCGACATTAAACCAGATGAAATTTCTGAAGTTATATTTGGACATGTGTTGACTGCAGGTAGGCTAATTTCTTTAATTTTCTATTTAAAATATATCCAATTTATTTTATTCTCCTAGTGAACTATATAGAAGAAACATCATTTTGTACAATGCTTTAGAGCAGGGGTATTCAACCTTTCAGAGGTGGAGATCTACTTGAACAACATGAAAGAGATCAGAGATCACTGGGGTTGGTTTGGCATTCTCCTTTTTTTTTTTTTCTTCAAGAAATTAACTAGCAAGGCCTAACTAAATTGTAAGGAAAACTCAGAAAAATATATTAAAACAAATTGCACTGTAAAAATATAAACTTGGCCTACTTGAAAAGTAGACCTTGTCATTTGGTAGGGTAGTGGATGGTGTCAGTAGTTTTTTCATTTTTAGTATTTATTGCAACTTTTATTTTTCATTATTTTTGTGTGTGTGTAAATATTATATATATATATATATATATATATATATATATATATATATATATTATATTATTTATTATTATTATTATTATTATTATTTTTTTTTTTTGAGCCATCTTTGGGGAGCACACGAGGAGGATCCAGGCAAAAAAAAGAGGAAAAAGGACAGGTGGTGCAGCGGGGGAGGCATTTACTAGAACTTTCCTCCTGCAGCAGCTAAATGCCGTCTGGACGGAGAAGAGGAGAAGCTGTCTTTCATCTGTTGCAGGAGGAAAACACGGGATCGTCGGAAGACAAGTATCTTATAAATCCAAATTCCTAGCAAGTGGCTGGGGATTTGAATTTTACTGCTCCCCCTACCCTGGCATCTTAAGGCAGCTGGTGACCTCTGCCCCGCCTTCCCCCCATAGCAGTGTCCCTTGCACCCCATAGCAGTGTCCTCTGCCCCCCCTTCCCCCCCATAGCAGTGTCCCTTGCACCCCATAGCAGTGTCCTCTGTCCCACCTCCTTCCCCCCCTATAGCACACACACTGTAGTGCCCTCTGTTCCCTTAACATTACCCCCCACACAAGAATAAGCAGTGTCCTACTTTGCAGGTGTACACCGAGGAGAAAGTGTAAGGCAGCAGAGTTCTGGACGGAGGGTGGGAGCCGGCGCTGCCAGTGTTAACTTTTTATGTGATTAGCACTGCCAAGACAGAGGGTCAGGGGTCATGTAGCCTCATAGGACAATCAGAGGAAAATGGGGGTGCACAGCAGTGCTTTACAGGGGATTGGAAGTAGCATGCACATTATTTATAGGAAAAAAAAGATGTGAAAATGTTCCCACGTTTTCTTTAGTGCACACTGTTATAGACAAATGACAATTAGGTAGACTTGTATAAATATTGTATAAGCAATTACTGTATAGGCAAATGCTCTCATTATTTAGATATGTCCAAAATTGCTTATATTTATTTTTCCAGTTACAACTGTCTTCTCTCTGCTACTGTATATCCTTATTTTCCTGTGTCCTGCAGGCACTGGGCAAAACCCAACTCGCCAAGCTGCTGTGGGAGCCTCAGTTCCTTACTCTGTTCCTGCATGGAGCTGCCAGATGATCTGTGGTTCGGGCCTGAAGGCAGTTAGCCTTGGAGCTCAGGCCATACTGACAGGAGAGTCTGATATTGTGGTTGCTGGTGGTATGGAGAACATGAGTCAGGTATGGAGGTTAAGTTTTCTTCTTGTTGAAATTTTGACTTGGAGATATTTATGTGTAGAAGTAATCCACTTCTATTGAAGTTTTTTCCTTACAAGACATAGAGACATTCCACTGACCTTTTTGAGAATGTGAAACAATATTGATTAAAGAAGACAGATTATCATGAACTACTATTTAAGAGAGGTGTGTGTGTGTGTCCATTTTGTTACTGTCACCTGCAACCACATCCCAAACTATACTTATTAGGACCTTGTAACAAGCCTGTGGCGCCGCTCGAAGCTGGACAGAAAGTATAATCACCTCGCCGGCAGTGAAAGAGAGGGGAGCAGTGTCCCGAGTCATACCAGAGACATACTGAATGTGAGGAGGGGTGGATGCCGTTCTACCGATCCCCAGGAGTCAAGCAGAAAGCGATGTGAGCTCTAGTTGGCCTCAGCCGCTGGGCCGGGCGAAACACGTCAGAGGGCATGGCCGGCGTGACGGCTGAGGCCAGATGGAGCTCACGTTGCTTTCTGCTTGACTCCTGGGGATCAGTGGAACGGCGTCCACCACTCCCTCACATTCAGTATGCTTATTAGGAATCATTGAATATCCTTATTTACACCCATAGACTGACCCTGCAAGTTCTAGAGTTTCATTTCTGGCTACGAAAATTTAGTGGAACTAAATTTTAGGATTACTCACCTCTATGGCAATGGTGCAATGCCCATGAGGTCCCTTGCCAGCACTGGCACCTTTCTCCCCAGCTTCTTCCAGGTGCCAGTCTTCATATGCAGTGCCGGCTATTGTATTCTGACAGCTGGTACTCGCAGCTGTCAGAATACGAGAACATTGACTTGACCTGATTAGATGCAGGCACTGTTTGAGGTGCCGAGAATTTTTTTGTCTGGCTTCTTCAACATAAGATGATTACCAAATTGACTTTTGTTACACTGGTTAGTGCTGACAAGTCCGCCTATGGAACAAATTTCGGATAATTCATCAAGCCAGCTTTATATACAGACATAGGGTAAATCTTTAAACTTTGAAATCATCTGGCAAGCATGACTAAATTTCTCAGGGCTGGACACTCATAGCCTTATCATTAATGTACTATTGTATTAACACAGGGCTCAACAAATCCTGGGCGCCAGGTCGCCATGGCTACCATAAATTGCATCCTGGAGCCTGGGCTCCCACCATCCCATCGCTAGCACAAGGCATGAGGACCCCTCTGGCAGCCATCCACTGAGCTCCTCACCTTCTCTTATTCATTGGTCATTGACCTTGTGAGGGGGATTGGGTAGCCTGTCAGCTTCTCCCCTCTACATTGGCTAGAGCTTCCTGCCCTTTTTTGACCCCCTAATCAGGAGGCGAGCTGGGGATGGGGTTTTCTCTGATTGGCTGGCCAGGAAGTTGGTGAAGATGGCACTCTGAGGAGCTAACAGTGAGCCCAGGCTCTGCCCGATGGCCAGAAGTGACCATCCTGAGATTTGACCCGGGAGCTAGCCACCACTACTCCCTAGTTGAGAGGAGAGGCCCCACCAACAGGAACAGAGGAGAGGGGACAGTATATGAGGAGGGTGAACACACATATTAAATTCTTATTTCCAGGAGTCCGAGGTCGGGGAGTGCTGCTTAACAAACATGGCCCATTAGCTACATTTGGTTAATGTACACTCTGGAACAGCTGTGCATGTTGGTCCATATGCACCAATGAACCAAATCACCTTCAACTTCTCTCACCAATAATCTGCATCACTACACTGAGACTATAAACTGTGAACTATAAATCCTTAAGAAGATTTATTGTGCTAATTATAAATTTCTCCTGCTTCCACTAATTTAACATTAAAGAGAGGAATAGTCGGACAGAAAAAATGACACGTACTGTATTACTTGTTATGGTATGCTGTCTGGCAAATACACACAAGACACTTTGTGGGGGATTTAGTAATACTGGTGCAATCAGAATCTGGCGTAGCTGTGCATGGTGACAATGGCTGTGACTTCCGGAAACAGCCATGACATCACCGGCTCCCATGGCTCAGCCATTGTCAGAGCTCCCTCCTCTTCCATGCAGCTGTTACTCACTTACACAGGAAAGCCAAAGCTGCAGGATCACATGACCGGAGCAGACTAAAATTAAGTAAATATACATTATGTACATACAGTATCTTTTATTATACATGTTAAGCAGAATGGGTAGTACGAGGGTTAGACTTAGGCTTTTCTTCCACCTTAAGAAAAGCCAGCATGTTGTTGGAAAGAACTCTTGCTCTTTGTGTGGAAGCAGTGGTCAGTCTGTGAAGATCCAACATATCCTCTGTCAAAGCTCATGCTCTTTACAGACTGGAGACCTGTAACTCTGACTTAAGGGATAAGTTCACCTTTGGGAACACCTTTGGGAAGGTAGCTTATGCTCAATGCTGCAGCTGTTGACCCCCCCCCCCCCCCCCCCCTAATCCCTGTGACAGAAGAACGAGGGGAAGTTCCACGTACAAGCTGTCACTTTTTTTTTTTTTTAAAAACTGCCTTTCAGGGCTCTGTCCACACAGCCGCATCATTCATTCACAGTGTTCTGTGAATGAACTACAAGTCCCCACAGCCTAAGAGGCTGTCGGCTTGTAGTTCTCAATGAACTACTTTGACGCTGTGGAGTGCTATGTTAGTTCATTGAGTCTTCCTGTTAGTATATCTGCTTGCCGTACGGGCAAGCAGATATACTGACAGGTCTGCAGGAGACCTGCATGGTACCAATGATCTGGTGCAATGCTTTTAAAGGCTCCTGCAACCGAAAATAATAATTAATGCACTTTTTTTTACCTGCAAAAAAGGGCATTTATTATTCATGGTCAAAAGGTGGACTTTTAACATGGAGTATTTCAGACTTCTGCAACAGGACCACTACTACCACACAGAGAGCAAGGAGTTCTTTTTTGCAGCATGCTGCACTGCTCATGGTGCCACCACTTTCTAAAGAAGATCTGAAAAACTTTAAACCGCTAGTTCTTTAATGCATCTGAAATGTATTTAGCTGATTTGAAGTATATAAGAATTCTTACCTTGCTAAACAACCTGTTTAGTTTTAAAACAGAAATGCAAGGCAAAACATGTGTGAGTGCGTGTCTGTCCCCTTTTTCTTTTTTTGTAATACGTTATCACATAATCTGTGTTCTCAGCTGCATGAGGGTTTAGAGAGGTGGAGGTGGTAAAAAAAAAACAGTACACCCCCTGCACAGCGAGAAAACCGACCAAGCTGGGTGAATGTGCTAACCTGGTCAGTTTGAGATAGGAGAGTGTGGGACTGGCAGTATCACCAGGTATTTCACACAAAGCAAGAAATATAAAGAGTACAGGATATTTTTTTTTAATGCAAGTACATGGTACAACAGACATCAGGAATGTGAAATGCTGGGGTTACATTCAGTTAGGCATTACACAAAAAAGAACAGCACCTGTATATTAGTAGTTCACATCCATACTGATGACAACAGGTTATTGGTACAGTGTAAATTGCTAAGTGCTGTGAGACTGGAATTGGTAACACCAGGATGTTACTGACACTATAAATGTATCAATATAAATAATTAACAGAATATGAAAAGCAAAGAGTGGTTTGAAGGAATAGTTCACACACCTACTGTAGCTCTCTGCACATTGTTAATAGAATGTATAACCTATTCTAACAGCCTCCATATACAAAAAAGCCAAATTCTGGCAGGTTTTTAAATAATTTTTACTACCCATATATGCAGGGATTACTGCTGCAGGAGGAGGCTGTAACATTGAAGAGAGCAAGGAGAACAGGTAGTGCAACACTAAAGGGGAGAGCAGAGAGGTAGGTGGTACCTGAGAATATACAAATCTATGGGGTTGATTTACTAAAACTGGTGCACACAGAATCTGGCGCAGCTGTGTTTTTGTAGCTAATCGGCTTCTATCTTCAGCCTATTCATTTACCGTATTTTCGCTCCATAACACGCACCTAGGTTTTGGAGGAAGAAAAAAAATATTCTGAACCAATGGACTGCAGACATAGTACAGGAGATGACCAGAGACTGCGGACCTTTGGGAGCGCAGGGGGGGAGTGGATACCCGAATTTGACAGGTACCCGCTCCCACTTCGGTGGAGTTGTCCTTCCCCCTCCCTCCCCGTAGTTTTCTGGGACATGTGACAGGTCCCAGGAGACTACAGAGCCATTCACAAAGCGCAGTGCTTCTCGTGCATGCGCAGTGGGAACCCGGCCGTGAAGCCGCACACTAAAGATGCCAGCACCAGGGAGAGAAGATTTTGAGAACACCGCTGGACCGAGGAACAGGTAGGACCGCTTGAAGTCTGCAGGTTCTGCTGCACAGAACAGCCGAGTGGCCGGTATTCTGACACGTCTTCAGCGAACGGGGGGGGGGGGGGGGGGGGAGAGAACTACCGGGCCAGCCACTCCATAAGACGCACAGACATTTCCCCCATTTTTTTGTGGGAAAAAAAGTGCCTCTTATGGTGCGAAAAATACAGTAAGTTTTGACAATAAAGCCTGGAAGCTGATTGGTTCATATGAAGAGTTGCACCACATTTTGCACCATGCAGTTTTAGTAAAAAAAAAACCTATGTGCGCTAGAATCAAGTACTGCTCAATACAACAAGCAATAAAATATTAAGTGTGTCGCGCTCCTCAATATTGTTTAGTAGTGAATAAATATAAGAAAATAATAAATAAATAAATAGAATTTAAATAATTCTAAATGGATCCATAGTGATAAAATTTAAAAACCCCTGGTGTTATATTTAATTAACCATACAAATAAAATTAAATAGTGTGAAAATAGCTGATAAATTCAGATTATATGGACACAATATTAATTAAATCAGGTAAACTAAAAAAACCCCATACGTAGTGGTATATTATGTGCAAAACTTATATGTGCAAAAAATGCAAAAATATTTCATAAAACAGTGAAGAAAAAAAAAATAAATATATATATATATATAATAAAAAACAGTATACTAATTCATATAAAAATTGATAAATCAAAAATGATAAATAAATAGTAAAACAATAAAAATAATCTAGTTTGCTCACTCTCACTTGTGCAGCCTAAAAATAGTGATTAGAGCTATATACTGGTTATCCTTAACTCAGAATCCTTTGTCTATGAGTCTTTGTGTTAATACTTCGCTTTGTGCTCTATAATCAATTTCTTTAGTGCAATTTCTTTTGAGCCTTATAAATTGACCCTTGGGCATATTATTGATCCAAGGTGGATAGTGACAGCTTGTAGTTGGTATATATGCATTACGATCTGTCTGTTTGAAAGAATTCTTTGTATATATCATATTGCCTTCTTTTACCATCAGTATATCTAGGAAATTTACAACCTCTTTACTTATATTCCAGCTCAAAGTTATGTTGTTTTCATTCCTATTTAGGTTCTCATAAAAATCCTCTAAATCCTCTTTAATGCCATCCCATATAAGAACAATATCATCAATATACCTATTATATATTAGTATTTCTTTTTTCTGACTTCTGTAGATATATTCCTCTACATTTATTTTTAATTTCAAATTTTCACTCTTTTCTTATATTATTATTATTTTTTTTTTTATTTATTATTATATTTTCCTTGCAATAAATAAAATAACTTCCTCCTCTATAAATATTTATTTTACATATTTTAAATAAATTAATTAAAAAGTTTTTTTTTACTGTATATCATGGGACAATAAGAACTAATAAGGTGTCCAAGTAATTATCATTTTTATTTTTTAAATATTTTTACCCGTAATAAATAAAATAACTTCCTCCTCTATAAATATTATTTTACATATTTTAAATAAATTGATTAAAAGGTTTTTTAATAAGGTGTCCAAGCAAAAGTTTCTGTATATACATAATTATTGTATTTTTTGGTGCCCAGCCCGGTCACAGTACTAGTGACACATAGTCAGAGTAAAGGTTGTTTCCTAATAAATCTTGCAAATAAAATATAAGCAATGTGGTCTATGCATGTACACATTGCGGGAACACAAGCAAAATATCTGGCCCCATTGAGATGGCCGCCCTCTGTGCGGGCTCCGGGAAAATGGCGCTGGAACGACCTATATAAGGGCAGTAGCGTCATGGCGTCTTATTACATCCCCCTGAGGAAGCCACGTGACCCTGTGGCGTAACGCGTAGGGGAGGGGCTCTGACGTCACGACGCCACCAACAATGGAACGGCGAGTACTGTCACTGTGCGAGGGCACACACATTTTTAAAACGCTCTGTATTACCCTGTGAAAATGTAAGTTTGCATTTGGCTGGAGACACATTAAACCCTATATGAAGGATAAAGCACTATGTGGGAATCTTTCTTTTACATGGCCTAAATTGGAGGAGCAAAAGGGAAGAAGAGGAGATAGTCTTTAATAGGACGAGGGGAGATATCTACTTCCATCTATCCAACCCTTATAACACAGAAGAAAAGGCCATCTAGTGGAAGGAAAGGAATATTACAATCTACCTCAACAGCAATACATTTTCCACGTTTGGGACAATCATTTGTCACCTGAGTTAAGGATAACCAGTATATAGCTCTTATCACTATTTTTAGGCTGCACAAGTGAGAGTGAGCAAACTAAATTATTTGTATTGTTTTACTATTATTTATTTATCATTTTTGATTTATCAATTTTTATATGAATTAGTATACTGTTTTTTATTATATATATATATATATATTTTTTTTTTTCTTCACTGTTTTATGAAGTATTTTTGCATTTTTTGCACATATAAGTTTTACACATAATATACCACTACGTATGGGGGTTTTTTAGTTTACCTGATTTAATTAATATTGTGTCCATATAATCTGAATTTATCAGCTATTTTCACACTATTTAATTTTATTTGTATGTTTAATTAAATATAACACCAGGGGTTTTTAAATTTTATCACTATGGATCCATTTAGAATTATTTAAATTCTATTTATTTATTTATTATTTTCTTATATTTATTCACTACTAAACAATATTGAGGAGCGCGACACACTTAATATTTTTATTTATTCATTTCCACATAATATTGTGAGTATGTGTTTTTGTGTTGATGCACCGTCATACTTATAGGAGTTAATTATTTGTAGGTGTTTGTATACCACCATAGTAGCTCACAAGTTCACATCATTTCAATACAACAAGCATTCTTCTTTAGGAGAGTGCAGAGAGGTGAGTGGAACTCTGAAGTAGGAGAGCAGACACTGGATGGAACATGTTCACTGTGGGTATAAAGCTAATAGAAACAAACTTCCTGTTTCCTGTCAGCTGCACTGGGAAGTTCTTATATCTATTTTAAATATTATACAGGATGTAGATTTATTCTGTATACTCATTATTGTTAGTATTTATTTTTTCCTTAAACTATAACATTATGCTAGAGCCTAGTGCTGAAAGTTACTTTTACATGTCTTTTATTCATGTGCATATACACTGCTCAAAAAAATTAAATGAACACTTTTTAATCAGAGTATAGCATCAAGTCATTTATACTCCTGGGATATCAAACTGATCAATTAAGTAGCAGAGAGGGCTGTTAATCAGTTTCAGCTGCTTGGTGTTAATTAAATTTAACAGATGCACTAGATGGGCAACAATAAGACAACCCCCAAAACAGGAATGGTTTTACAGGTGAAGGCCACTGACATTTTTTTCCCTACTCATCTTTTCTGACTGTTTTTTACTAGTTTTGCATTTGGCTAGGGTCAGTGTCACAACTGGTAGCATGAGGTGATTCCTGGACCCTACAGAAGTTTGACAGGCAGTCCAATTCCTCCAGGATAGCACATGAATACATGCCATTGCCAGAAGGTTTGCTGTGTCTCCCAGCACAGTCTAAAGAGCATGAAGGAGATTCCAGGAGACCAGTATCTGCTCCTTTGTGCAAGGAAGAACAGGATGAGCACTGCCAGAGCCCTACAAAATTACCTCCAGCAGGCCACTGGTGTGAATGTCTCTGACAAAACAATCAGAAACGGACTTCATGAGGGTGGCCTGAGGGCCTGAAGTCCTCTAGTGGGCCTGTGCTCACTGCCCAGCACCATAGAGCTCGATTGGCAATTGCCATTAAACTCCAGAATTGGCAGGTCCACCACTGGCGCCCTGTGCTCTTCACAGATCGGAGCAGGTTCACCCTGAGTACATGTGACAGCCGTGAAAGGGTCTGGAGAAGCCAAGGAGAATGTTATGCTTCTTGTAATAACATTCAGCATGACAATTTTGGTGGTGGGTCAGTGATGGTCTGGGGAGGCATTTCCATGGATAGACGCACAGACCTCTACAGGCTAGACAATGGCACCCTTACTGCCATTAGGTATCAAGATGAAATGCTTGGACACATTGTTAGACCCTACGCTGGTGCAGTGGGTCCTGGGTTCCTCCTGGTGAACGGCAATGCCTGGCCTCATGTGGCGAGAGTATGCAGCCAATTCCTGGAGAATGATGGAATTGATACCATTGAATGGCCCCCACACTCGCCTGACCAAAATCCAATAGAACACCTCTGGGATATCACGGTTCGGTCCATCCGACACCACCAGGTTGCACCTCAGAGACTGTCCAGGAGCTCAGTGATGCCCTGGTCCAGATCTGGGAAGAAATACCCCAGGACACATTCGTCGTCTCATTAGGAGCATGTCCCAACATTTCCAGGCATGCATACAAGCACTTAGGGGCCATACAAACTACTGAGTACCATTCTGAGTTGCTGCAATGACATTTCAGCAAAATGGACTATCGTGCTGCATCATTTTTTTTAGCTTTGATTTTCAGGTGTCTTTTGAATTCAGTCCTCTGTAGATTGATCATTTTAATTTCCATCAAACGATGGGGCATCCTAACATTCCTAACACATATCCGTATAGATATCCAGCATGATATTTTTCTCCATTGAGATCTAATGTGTTTTCAAAGTGTTCCTTTAATTTTTTGGAGCAGTGTATTTACTTCCTATCTTTTAAACTTGCTTACCATTTAAGTGTTTTAACTAAATCATTCTTTTTCAGGCTCCTCACTTGGTCCAGATGAGAGCAGGTGTGAAAGCTGGGGATGTCCCATTACAAGACAGCATACTTTGTGACGGTCTCAATGATGCCTTTTACAAGTACCACATGGGAGTAACTGGTAAGATGATTGCAGACTGACCATTTATTTCCACTCAAGGACCATAAAACCTACATTTTAGATAATGTAAATGCTGATTTTCCTTTATTCTGGATCCAGTGGGACATCTGGAAAACTAGAAAAGCAAAATGTATGCTAACATCATCGCCACAATCTTGCAACCTTAGGCTACAAATCCTGGTCACATAAGGCAGTTTTTTTTCCTATATATCTATTACAGGTACTTATACAGCGCTGTCAATTTACCAATTTATGCAGCACTTTATATATTGTACATTCACATCAGCCCCTAACCCTCAAGGAGCGTACAATCTTTTTTTCCTTGACCACCTTAGTTACTAAAAGGATCTCACAATGCCGTTGTCAACCTGAAAATGACATCACAATACACACTGTGCTAACTGAGCATACTTGGGGAGCGGTTTTCGATCAGCACAATTTCCAAGGGCATCCAGGGCCTTGGTAAGTATACTCGCTCTTAAAGCAGTATTAAGTAAAAAAGTAAATGTATTATATTGAAGCTTACCAATGATTAGATGTAATTGCTGCATTTGTTTTCTATTTTTTTTAGGCCTCCCCTCCCTCCCTTCTGATTTTCACCAGGTAATCTGGCCAGTAACACACCTCCTGTATTAGACTGTCCCCACTCCAAATGAAGGAGCACATTGACACTTTTGGACTGCATCAGTGTTAATCTGGGGGAGGGGAGTGTTAGATGGACTAGCAGATTTAGATACATTAACAAATTGAAGCCAATCTCAAGCTCATAAAAGTTTTACATGAATGATTAAAAGCTGATCATTGTAAGCACCCTGATCAGTGTTAAATAGTTTGTCTCAACTCCCTGACTGCTAACCATGCGGGACAGCTTGTTCTGTTGTAAAACAGAATTACTGGCTGGATCATTAGGTGGAAGGAAAGGCTAAAAATAGAAAACTAATGCAGCCACCACATCTAAGGATTTGTAAGCCGCAATAATAAATGTTTACTTTTGAGTTTAATACTGCTATAAGCATTTTAAGTGTGCAATGCTGTTCCTTTTAAAGGATCACTATTAGAAAGATAATGTATTCAGAGAATATTATTATTATTATTATACAGGATTTATATAGCATCAACAGTTTGCTCAGCGCTTTACAATATAACGGGAGACAATACAGCAACAATACAAGAGGGATACAAGGGGATAGGAGGGCTCTGCTCCTTGGAGCTTACAAACTAAGAGGATATGTTATTTATACTTGTAATGACAGTACTAAATATTCAAATTTATTTATTTTTTCCACATTTACATGCAGACTACTCTGTCAGATGAAAAGCACATTATTCATTTTTTGGAAAACATCAGGACACTGCCAGGGCTACTTGAGCAGTATTATTATTATTTTTTTTTTTTTATTGTTTTTACATATAACATTTAAGCCATGTGAATTAAAGGTAACCATTGTGAGCACCCCTAACAGCAGACCGCTTGCTGTGAATGTGAATAAAAGCTTACATAAAGGCACCTGAAATAGTAAAAAAGAAGTTCATATACTAAATATTATCATTGCATTTATTAAAATGTATGTACTGCCAAAACTTTATTCTTTAGATTTGTGTAGGGTGGGAAAGGATTGGAGCCCCTGTCATGTTTTTATTGCTGTCTGTGGCTCCGCTGGGTGGATTCACCGTCTCTTTGTCCTGTTTACCATCTTACCAAGACAGAATACAATGGGAAATCCAAAATTTTGAAACTTTCTAAAAGGGACACCTGTTCCAATGACCACATTCTAAGAGGGAAATTCCCCTCACTTTTTATGTATTTCCTTTTAATGTCTATTGCACCCCTGAGGCAGATTGCAAGGAGAATACTGCCCAGTAGGACATGTTGCCTTCATAGTTATAATAAATTCTGGAGGTTTTTAGGGTATTTGCACGTGGTACTGATGAATGAACATCAAATATCCCTGGCAGAAAAAAATGTGAGGATGCATACACACATAAAAATTCTTCTAGCTTTTTTCAATCAAGTGAAGGTATTGTGTGTGACGGCACGTAATTGCATGCAAAATACTGACCATCAACGCAATTTTTCTGACAGCTCCACGTCAGCACAGCTCTCCCCCACCCCCCCCCCCCCCCCCATGTTTCCAAGACCTAACTCATAATTTGAGCCCACCTGCAGCCTCAGTGTTTCCACTTACCCTTTGAAAGGGTTTTCTGCTTTGGCAAGCGGCCTAGCCTTTCCAGGCGAAACAGCCCTTTTGAGAGTTTCCAAAGAGGATGATGCGGTTTGACATAACTACATAAATACTTCTTTGTTCAAGCAACCGAGGATAAAGATGATGACACCTAACAGGTTGTCACATGAGGCTAATACAATCTAAAGCAGCCTTTTTCAACCAGGGTGCTACTGTTTTCTTCAGGGGTGCCTTGACAAAATGCCTAAACATTGCCCAAAATTGTATACAAGCCAGCAGGTGGATGAAGCCTGTCTTTTAGTTTCTCAAAGCCACAGGTTTTCATTGTGCACCATTACAACTTTCTAGCCACTGGCCATATAACAACCAATTATGTAATCAGTTCATAAGAAGACATTGGACACCTGCACAGCATCCTTTCTTTCCCCTTCCCAGCCCCTCTTCATAAGCACTGGGGTCACATTAGATGAGTGCAAGAGTGAAACTGAGGGATAAGAGAAACAGAGAAGTGCAAAAGTGTTTCTGCTTTAAAAGAATAAATAACCTCTAACGTTGGGTGTCCTGCAACGTTGCTGCGTTCTGTGAAACTATTTTGTTTATTTTTTTATAATTTGTTTTGGGTGCCTCGAGATTGTGCAGAATTGTTAAGCGTGCCTTGACTGAAAAAGCTTGAGAAACACTGCTCTAAAGGGAGTGTTTCAACTCAAACTGTGAAGGCGTTATATATTCTATCAATGAGCAGTCTCCTGGCCTTCATGGCAAACAATCCTCTTCAGACTCTTCTAAAAGAGTCAGATGAGCATGACTGTATGAACCCTGCTGGTTCAAACAGCCAGGAAAGTTGACACTTAAAAAAAGTTATCACATTCATTGACCTTGTGGTCAATACATTCTAAAGGAGTTGCTTCCACTCACCTTGTGAAGGGGTCATCTATTCTGCCAATCAGCAGTCTCAGAACCTTCTCGGGCAAATCAACCATTGCCAGATTCATCCAAAGAACATGTGGATGAACATGACTGCATGATTCCTGCTTTGTTCAAGTAGACAGTGATTAGGATGATAGTGACGAAGTTGTCATAATTAATAAAGTATGTGGTCAAGACACTCTAAAAGAATTGCTGAATTCACCTTCTGCAAGGACCATCTATTCTGGCAATGTCCAGTCTTCCTTTTAGGGCTATTATAACTGGTCTCGGAGCTTTCTCAAGCCAATCAATTCTCTTTAGTCCCTTCTGAACAGGAAGATGAGGGCGACCTTTGTCCAGGTTTTTGAATCCTCCTTTTGTAAGGTTGATGAAATGCCTCTGAATACAAGCAAATCTGTAGAAGTGCCTTCAAAAGACAGTTTGAAAATTCCCTTATGGTGGCTGAATCAAGTGCTTGTTCTAGAAGATTGAAGCATGTTGTCATAGCAGGATGTCAAAGGGTTTGAGTCACCCCTTTGGTTGGTGTGTCTCTTTTGGGGACTGGCCAGATACATGACTTTACCATTTAGAAGATGCTGTGGCCTTCAAGGACGTATTAAATCACTGTATTGTTCTTGATCTTAGAAGGTGAAGCCTAATAGTGGTCAGTTTGGCTTCCTGCCTCAAGACAAACATCTGTTGAGTTAAATGAGACTGAAGCTCAAGAGTCAATTTCCATGCTCACTCCAGAGAGGGTAGCTTCTGCATTCCTGGCTGGGAATCAAAGAAAAAGCCAGCACATAATCCAGGAAGTCAGCGAAGAGCTTCATGTCAGGATGCTTGCTGGTATTTTGGGGATTGTGCTATACATACTTTGTCTTATGGGCACTTGGTGGCTCCTCTTTGGACATAGGTACAGCTTTGGTGATGGACACATATTTTCTTGCATTTCAGGAAATATTTAGAAGATTTTTCATCCTTAGTGTCTCAGATTGGGCCGCATAAATAACCTCACTCCAGCAGGTCAGATAAGCTCAGTTGAACTATCGCCCCCTTTCAAGCCGGGTTTCTGGACTAGTAGAAGTTGGAGGGCCTAGGTCAGAAGATATGGATTACGCCCTGTATGAAAGCAAGCCTAAACGTGGTTGGGAGAAGGAGAATCTTCTGCAATGTCATTCCCATCTGACGACCTAGTGGCTCGTGATACAGTAAGACACCAGCAAAATAGTTGGAGAGCCCTAATTCAGGAACAATAGGATCAGAACCAATGGCCTTTTTCAAGGGTCCAAGATCGTGTCGAACATCCTGGAGTTAAGAACGGAACTTCAGTTCTCATAGCCTTCAGTCACCTCATCCAGGGTGGACCTGTCCTGGTGAAGTTAGATAGTACAATGACTATGGCTTACACCCGGAAACAAGGGGGCACTCAGTGTCTCCCTCCTGAAGGAGGTTTCTCCGATTCTAGTGTTGGCCCAAGTCAATATCCTGCAGCTATCTGCAGCCTATGTGCCCGTTCGGAAGAATCTTTAAGCAAACAATTTGTCAATGAAACAATGAATGGTCCTGACTGCCGTAAGTCTTTTGAGAACAAAGGGGCTTGTAATCTCTTCCAGAGGTAGACCTGTTCACATCCCCAGTCAACACGAAGTTGCTGAAGTTCTGTTCCAGGTTCTAGCATCCACAAGCAATCGGGGTGGAGGTGCTGATTGCAGAGTGGATCTCCAGGACAGCATATGCCTTTCTGCCTCTCCCTCTGATTCTCAGCTTCCTGCTAATGATTGTCAAAGGCCCTCTCCCTCTGCCAGATCTTCTCCAAAGTCCCATTCATCCAACACCTGACAGGCTCAAGCTCATGGCTTCAGCCTTGAGAGGCAGAGGCTAATAGATCTCAGGTGCTCTGTAAAGGTTGTAAATACTCTTATGAAAGCAAAGAAGGACAGCACTAACAGTGCCTATAGTAGAATATGACATAAAGGGGTTTATTTACTAAAGCTGGAGAGTCCAAAATCAGACTCCCTTCTGCATAGAAACCAATCAGCTTCCAGGTTTCATTGCCAAATCTTCCTTGAACAAGCTGAGGTTAGAAGCTGATTGGTTTCTATGCAGAAGGGAGTCTGATTTTGGACTCTCCAGCTTTAGTAAATAAACCCCAAAGTGACAGGATTGCTGCTGATTAACGTTTTACACAGGGATCTTCACAAGTCTGTCACATTCTGAAGTTTCTGTAGGCGGGGTTGATTTAGGTTTATGCGCAAGTATGATGTGGGCCCACATTTCAGCTATCTCTTCCTTCAGTGGCATACAGTGAGCATCCAACACTCAATTTATACTGTTTTTCAAACTTCAACTTGGTTGAAACATACCCAAGGGATTATTGTTTGTGAAGTGGGATCTCCCATTGGTGTTGGATTTGTTTGCATCAGATGCCTTCAATCAAAGTGCCCCCCTGTGGTACCTCTTGCTGAAAACTGCTTTCCTGGTGGCAATTACATCAAACAGAAGAGTGTCCATATTAGCGGCCCTGGGGTTTACAGAACCCTTTCTTGGGTTTATCCTGGATAGAGTGGTACTCATGCTGATGCTCAAGATAAGTGGCCTTCAGAGAGTTACACAAAAAGTTGTCCTTCTTACGTCCTTCTTGCGGAGTACCCAAGAAGTTAGCCCATCAGATGTGGGCCAAGTTTTAAAATGTTACATCAAGGTGACATCTATCATCAGGAAGTCGGAGCATTGTTTGTCATTCCAGGTGGAGCGTGCAATGATTTCACAGCTTCCAACAAGATTATTGCCTCTTGGTTGGTGAAGCTCATTTCCTTCGCCTACAAGTTGAAAGGGTTGGCTGTGATAGGGGGATCACATTACTGTCCACCCGAAAGGTCTTGACCTTGTGAGTGGCAGCAGAGTGTTCCCAGACACTATATACGAGGCAGCTACGTGGGGGGGGTCAAAAAAATTTTCTTTATATATATACACATATACAGAAACACACATGTTCATGGCTCATTACTGTACAGAAGCAGTCTTACTGACAGTTGAGTTTGGCAGAAGCATCCTGACATCTGCTTTTAGTCAGAATGGAGAAGTGTGTAGCATTATCCCTTCCCCGTGTGGCTAGTTAGTTCCCAGCTGTGCTGACATGGAGCTGTCAGGGAAATGGAAAATTGAATAACAGGTACTTACTGTAATTTTTCATTTCCTGACGAGCTACATGTCAGTACAATTCCCACCCAGCTTGGTAGGACTAGTTGCAGAATGCCGAAGCTGCAGGTGGGCTCAAATCTATGAGTTAGGTCCTGGAAACATGGGTGTCAGGGCCCTTACCAGTTGTGCTGACATGGAGCTCATCAGGAAAGGGAAATTATTGTAAGCATCTGTAATGCAATTTGTTTTTTTTTTTACTTATCTATATGCAGCATAAGGTTATGCATCTATGTGTACAGGATCATTGACAACAATGGGCTGCATCTAAATCCGAAAAAAATAAATAAAAACACCTCAATGCATAAAAATATTACATATTAAGGCTACCCATGTGCAAGAGGCTTTAGTGTAGATTAGTCCGGGGGGGCTAGAAAGAATAGCATTAGATTTATTATAGTTACAGGTGTTTTAGGAATTTGTGTATACCAGATGTGTTGTCATTCATTGTGCCATCGTTCAAAACTCATGGACAAGATAAGTCTATTATTTTGGTAGGGTCTGTTCGCTTCAGCACTATTTTAATGTAGTGGAAATAGACTGTGTATGCTGCATTTGGTTCACTTTTAAATACATTTTCATATTCAAGTAAATTGAATGGGACCTTTGGAAAAAACACACTTGACACAATTTAAAATGTATTGCAGCACATTTTGTGTATTGCAGTTTCACAGGCATGTGTCATGCATATACTGTATGTTAAAACTGAACTGTAGGCAGAGGAAGACAAAAAAGTATCGCAGCTCTGTAAATAAGAAATCATTAAATGTATTTTTTTAAATACATGTACAGTGGATATAAAAAGTCTACACATCCCTGTTAAAATGAAAGGTTTCTCTGATATAAAAAAAATTAGAGAGTTAGTTGCGAGAACATACTGTATGTTGAATGCTACAAACGGAATGTGCATATTTTAAATAGAATGATAGTTGTCTTCTATTTATGTTTACTGGTAAATAACACTTTTTAATCAGAGTATAGCATCAAGTCAATTAAACTCCTGGGATATTGATCTGGTCAGTTAAGGGGGTTGTTAATCAGTTTCAGCTGCTTTGGTGTTAATGAAATTAACAACAGGTGCACTAGATGGGCAACAAGAGATGACCCCCAAAACAGGAATGGTTTTACAGGTAGAAGTCACTGACATTTTTTTCCCCTACTCATCTTTTCTGATATTTTTCGATAGTTTTTCATTTCGCTAGGGTCAGTGTCACTGCTGTTAGCATGAGGCGATACCTGGACCCAACAGAAGTTGCACAGGCAGTCCAACTACTCCAGGATGGCATATCAATATGTGCCATTGCCAGAAGGTTTGTTGCGCCTCTCAGCACAGTCTGAAGAGCATGGAGGAGATACCAGGAGACAGGCAGTTACTCTAGGAGAGCTGGACAGGGCTGTAGAAGGTCCTTAACCCATTAGCAGGACCAGTATCTGCTGCTTTGTTCAAGGAAGAACAGGGTGAGCACAGCCAGAGCCCTACAAAATTACCTCCAGCAGGTCACTGGTGTGAATGTCTTACCAAACAATCAGAAACAGACTTCATGAGGGTGGCCTCAGGGCCCGATGTCCTCTAGTGGGCCCTGTGCTCAACTGCCCTGCACCATAGAGCTCGATTGGCATTTGCTATTGAACACCAGAATTGGCAAGTCCCCACCACTGGCGCCCTGTGCTTTACACAGATGACAGCAGGTTCACCCTGAGCACATGTGACAGATGTGAAAGGGTCTGGAGAAGCCGCGGAGAACGTTATGCTGCCTGTAACTTCATTCAGCATGACCGTTTTGGTGGTGGGTCAGTGATGGTCTGGGGAGGCATATCCATGGAGGGACGCACAGACCTCTACAGGCTGGACAATGGCACCCTGACTGCCATTAGGTATCGGAATGAAACCCTTGGACCCATTGTCAGGCCTACGCTGGTGCAGTGGGTCCTGAGTTCCTCCTGGTTCATGACAATGCCCGGCCTCATGTGGCGATGCAGGCTGTTCCTGGAGGATGAAGGAATTGATACCAATAAATGGTCCCCACACTCGCCTGACCTAAATCTAATAGAACACCTCTGGGATATCATGTTTCGGTCCATCCGACACTGCCAGGTTGCACCTCAGACTGTCCAGGAGCTCAGTGATGCCCTGGTCCAGATCTGGGAGGAAAATACCCCAAGACACCATCCGTCGTCTCATTAGAAGCATGCCCCAACATTGTCAGGCATGCATACAAGCACGTGGGGGCCATACAAACTACTTTTGAGTTGAAATTTCAGCAAAATGGATTAGCCTGCTGCATCATTTTTTCACTTTGATTTTCAGGGTGTCTTTGAATTCAGTCCTTTGTGGGTTGATAATTTTCATTTCCATCAAGCTATGGGGTATCCTTACTTTCCTAACACATCACCCAGTCCATATCAGTATAGATATCCAGCATGATATTTTTCCCTATTGAAATCTGATGTGTTTTCAAAGTGTTCCTTTTAATTTTTTTGAGCAGTGTATATATAATCTCAATTGTTTTTTGTTTCTTTTCTAGCTGAAAATGTGGCCAAACAATGGAAAATATCCAGAGAAGAGCAGGACAAGCAAGCGGTTCAATCACAAAACAGGACTGAGGCTGCACAAAAAGCTGGCCATTTCGACAAAGAAATTGTATTCGTTGAGGTGCCCTCCAGGAAAGGTTTATACGTTTTATTTTCCTTTAACTATAGCATGTGCTTATGTTCATTTTGCCTAAAATATCAAACAACTTCTGTTAAACATTTTATCAAGATTGTCTCATTGTTTATAGTTTCTGATCTGTGACTTCTTTTATTTAGGCCTCGTTCACATTGGCATATTTATGCGCCCATGTGTGACACCTGTGTCAGGGCTGTGCTTGACAGCATGGGATGCAGTGGTATATCATGCATCCATGTGCAGGCAGTCCCATTTATGTCAACTGGGATGCAGAGGCTGAACAGACACAGCCACCGATCCCAATTTGATTTACTTGTGGGTGTGGATGCAAGTCCCTGAACACAGACAGTGTGAATTTGGGGGATACACACCTACAGCTTCGTTGACACAGAAGGCCACTCCAGAAGATTACGGCTGAGAAGCTTGGGGGCAGATGAGGATTTCTACAAAACTAGGAGACAGCAGCACAAGGGACACAACTCACTAATAGTAAGTTACGTTCCCTTGTGCTGATTGATTGATTTACTAATCTATTCTAAACTATAAATGTAAGCTTTAAAATGGTATTCAACCCAAAAGCAAAAATGTAAGCTATTGAGGCCTACTTATCCTTGGATGTGGTGGCTGCATTCATTTTTCTTTTTTGGCTTTTTTTTTTTTTTTTTTTTTCTTTCATTTCACCTGCTAATCCAGACAGTAACACACTTCCTGTCTTAGGGTATCTGCTCTCTGGATGAAGTGGTAAAGCAGATACCTTTTTGGACAGCAATATTTTTAGTCTGGGGAGAGGATAGTGTTAGGCCTGGTACACTCATTCATTTTTTTTTTTTTGTTTTTTTTTCAAACAAAGAAAACTGAAAGGCAGCTGTACTAAGCGGATGTTAGTACAGTGATCTCTCCGATGTGCCTTTGTGACAGGAGAATTCCCACTTTAACAAAAGCTAGACTTTTTCTTTTTCATTATTTATATATTTTTTTTCTGTGGTGCATGTGGGCAAAGCAAGGTACTGTATGTCAAGTTTCACACAATTTTGCATGATTTAGAGCAGCCTGCAGTGACATACAGAAGTCTGTGGTTTGTCTTTATAATATACCATCATTCACTTGAGCCTAGCACAACATAAATCCAGAATATTGCTCTGTTTATAAGATCAATCTCTTGAGTCAGTTGTCCTTGTCATTGCAGGATTTGATAATACAGCTGTATTGTCTGTAAGTTATATTCTTTTTTTTTTTTACAGGTCCTGTTGTAGTGAAAACTGATGAATTTCCTAGACATGGCAGTACTTTAGAAGCAATGTCAAAGTTAAAACCTTATTTTCTCAAGGATGGGACTGGTACAGTAACCCCTGCTAATGCATCAGGTTAGTGAACTGCTCTTATCATTGGATTCAAAAGATTTAGGTTGGCCATACATTATACAATTTTTCTGAGATTTTTGCTCTAGTTTTAACAAAAAACATATAATATGAGATTAAACGAAAACAACACTTTCAATTGTATCTAATTAGGCAGGCCCTTGCACTACATAGTGGAAGGTAAATCTAAAGGAAATTAGCCAGAAAACTGTAAGAAAATTACATGGTGTATAGCCAGCCTTACTTTTTCTGCATATTAGAAGAAAGAAATAGGCTAGCATCACGGACTACTGAAAGCCACAATAGGATTTCTCACCGGCATGTGTAAAGTTGAAAAAAAAGAGACGTTCTGATATTACAGCAAGTTTCCATTAAGCCAATTTGCACTGGCCTATGCATTATTAACTTGAAGGCCCTTGTTCACTGGCCATTTAGGATTATGGGCAGAATCGTGGTTATTCCGCCCGCAATTTCAAATCGCACTGCAATCTTGGCAAAATGCCAAGATTGTTTGTGTGCCATTCATTTTTAATGGCACCTAAAACATGGTGTGGTTTTGCTGCAATTGTCGTGAAACACCACATCGCGTGAAGCTTGTCGCCCAAAAAGGAGCAGGAGCTTCTTTTGGGTGACATGCTTCATGTGATGTGGTTTGCCACAATCGCCACGCGATAAATAATGCACAATTGTGGCAAAACCGCATCATGTTTCAGGTGCCACTTTTTAAAAAAATAATAAATGCTTCCATATTTACAGGAAAAATAGGAAACCAAGAACCCCCTATGTTTTGGTAAAAGTAAGCTTGTGCTAAATATCTGTGGTGTGTTATTGGCCCAGAGGAATTTAATTTGTTCACTTGATTCAGTGATTTGTTCAGTGATCTCAGGAACGGGCTTAGAATGTGGATTTGGAAGGGTTTATAACACAGGTCTCAAACTGGCGGCCCTCCAGTCCCATGAGGCATTGAGGCGGCCCTCCAGTCCCATGAGGCATTGCAAGATTGACAGTTACCAGCATGACTTCCAAAGGCAGAGGAATGATGGGACTTGTAGTTTCAGAACAGCTGGAGGGCCACCAGTTTGACACCCCTGGTTTATAACAAGTGCAAGTGAGGGAAATTATGTATTTTTTTTTCTTCTTTTTGTTTTTTTTTTAATTCTTATTCTACCAAACCATGTGTGGGTATCTCTGTCCCGTCTCTTGAGGTCTAGCTGTATTGTCCTAAGTGGGGAGGAAATTTTTCCTTCACAGTGCTGAGATTGAGCTCTGCAGTCACTTTTGCAGCAGTTGTTTTCTTATTCTAGTTCACAATTCTGCACAATGTCTTTTGTCTCTTTCGGTCAGTTGACCATGTCAACTTCTTATGCTTATCAGACAACGTTTTCCCTGAAATTGTATATTCCTTCCTAACCTTTGACACTGTACACGGCAAATAAATTGGTAAGCTAAGTCACGGAGGCACCAGCTAAGTGGGCACCAACAATTTTCCCTCTGTGAAGCTCAGTAAGCTCTGACATGACTTTCTGTTACTAGCAGCGCATGCAGTGAATGATGAAAGTGAGGCTTCCCACCTGTTAGCTAGGTGTCTCATTACACAGCAGCAGCAAAAGAATGTTACATCACTTCAGCTTTCAATGTGAAACATGTCTTCCTTTCACAGCTGCAAATCATGTAGTGTTTCCATTTTTTTGTCTAACCCCTGTATACATGGGATATTACAACGAAGATGGGTTTCCTTTAAAGCCCAAATCTGAGCAAAAATCAAAATCTCACAGTAAATTATCAATAAAGTTCCTTTTTTTTTTACTGTGCCTTCCATCTACCCCATATTTTGTGAGACTTAACACTTCATCCTTGCTAAAAGTCACTGTTTTTTCCTTTCAATTTCATCCTTTTTTGGCCCATGGACCAGGCACACACAGTAGCTTGTGTAGGACCTGTCCCTTACTGCTCCTATGTAGTCGTCTTTGCTGTGTCGCAGTCAAAAACATGAACGCATACACAGTTCTGTAGGTTTTATTACTCCAATATCTCTTTATTCAGTCCACCTGCCCTGTTTCTGCTCACAAGTTTTGCTGCTCATCTGCCCACGTGGTCTGGCAGTGGCAGCATAAGCTTGATTATGTAGGGGAGGCTTTAATATTTGTGAACACATACGTATTTTAAGAGATCATCAAAATGGAAAATATTATACATGAAGTTGTTATAGTAGAGCCTATGGTAAAATGAATTTGTCTTAAAAAAAAAAATAAAGATTGCAGATCTATATGAATGATTCAGATGACATTGGTGCTGATACACTACTATTAATATCCTCTTCTCAGGTATTAATGATGGAGCAGCAGCAGTGGTTCTCATGCGGAAGTCTGAAGCACACCGCAGACACCTCTCCCCGTTGGCACAGATTGTCTGTACAGCTCAGGCTGGTTTGGATCCATCTGTTATGGGAGTTGGACCAATCCCAGCCATCAGAAAAGCTGTAAGTATCTATTGCAGTAAGTCAATCAGAAAGATTTAGATTACTGTTCTGTCATGTCATGTCATGAGTGTTCTTTGCTACAAGTATATTTGATCACATTACTAAACAGAATTTTGCAAACTTGATTCAAATCAAAAGACTGTTGCTTCAGACTTTTAGATAACTTTTTAGTTGTTAAAATGTTGCCATCAACACAATAAAATACATCTTTAGAGTTAATATGTGCTTCATAATCATACTCTCGGATTGATTTTTCCCAAACCATGCATAAGATTTTGCAGGTTTGCATCCAGAAAACAGAAAATTGAATTCAAATACTTACTGTAATTTTCCTTTCTTGAGGAGCTCCATGGCAGCACAGCTGGGTGAGGCCCCGCCCACCCCTGCCTGATCAGGACGTAACTCAATAAATTTTTGACCCACCTCAGCCTAGGCGTTCCGTAACTCGTACTGCTAAACTGGGTGGGATTTGAGCTCGTCTGGAAAAGAAAATTACGGTAAGTATTTGAATTCAATTTTCCATTTTCCTGATGGCTCTATGTCAGCACAGCTGGGATTTAACTAGCTACACATGGGAGAGTAATGCAAAAACAATTTAATATTGCCTGAAAGCAGAGGCCAAGACACCCCTGCCAAAATCAGCAGTAGTCAAAGCCGCAGGTTCTATACAATAATGAGTCCTGAAGGTATGAACAGAAGATCATGTAGCCACTTTGCAGATTGTTACTGGGGAAACTCGGCCCACTGCTGCCCATGAGGTTGAAACCCCTGTACTGGAATGCGCTGTGAACCCCTCAGGCATAGGCATGCCTTTCGCTCTGTAAGCTAAAGAGATGGTCTTGACCAGCTAAGTAGCGATTGCTCTACTAGAAGCTCTCAAGCCTTTCCGTGCACTGTTAGGGGTGGTGAAAAGATGCTCTGACTTCCTGAGCTCGGAAGTAACATCCACATAGTCTCTCAATGAGTGCCCAACATCCAATGGACTTGGGTCCTGGGAATTTTCCAAAAGGAGCATCGGGGGTGTAATGTCTTGCATTATGTGAAACCTGGAGGCAATTTTGGTTACAAATCTGAACATTGGTCTAAGCACGACTCTATCCGGAAAGAACGGAAGGCTGCCAGCTCCGGGACTCTTCCGGCTGATGTTGTTGCCAAGAGAAACGCTGTTTTCAGAGTAAGATGCCATAGTGACACAGGATGATTGAAGGTGTCTGATGAGAGGAAGTCCAACACCAGTGGCAAGTCCCATTTTGGGAAAATCAGAGGCTTGGGTGGTCTGTGGCTGATAGCTGCCTTAAAGAACTGAACCACTAAAGAGTCCGATGCCCATAGGGTACCTGTAAAAGCAGAGAGTGCAGAAACGTTAGCCTTCAGATTACTCACAGACAGACCCATATCCAGCCCCACCTGGAAGAATTCCAATAAGTGGCAGATTCTCAGGGTATCTGGCGCAAAGCCATGCATGTTTGCAAATTCCACAAACTTGCCCAATATCCTGCTATAGGCTGTGTTGGTGCTGTTCTTTCTAGCTCTCATCAAAGTATCTGTGACCTTAGTTGAGCAGCCTAGATTTATAAGCCTTTCCCATTCAAAACCCAGACCGTCAGCCTGAATTTCTTTGGAGCGGGGTTGTCGAATGGGTCCCTGCATGAGCAGATCCAGTGTCACTGGCAGAGGGTATGGTTCTCTGATGTTCAATGAATGGAGTAGCGGGTACCAGGGTCGCTTTGGCCAATCTGGTATTACTGATAGAACCGTCACCCTCTCCTGGTGTATTCTGTGCAGCAAGCTGAGAATCACTTGAATTGGAGGGAAGGCATACGCAGTCTTGAAATTCCATGCCATTGTCTACGCATCCACCCCTATAGCTTGTGGGTGGCTAATCCTGGAGAAAAAAATGGGGTAGTTTGGTATTCTCTGGGGAGGCAAACCAGTCTATCTCCGGAAGAAAGGCCCAAGCCACTAGACTGAAAAACTTGAGGTGAAAGGCCCCACTCGATGTTGTCCAAACTCGTTCTGGATAGATAATCCGCCTGGGTATTCAAGCGACTGGGCACATACATTGCTGCTAGCAGTTGTAAGTTGGGCTGGGCCCATTCCATAATTGGAATAACCTCCCCCAGGAGGGGAATGCTGCGGGAGCCCCTCTGTCTGCGTATGTAGGCTACTGCCGTTGTGTTGTCCAACTTCATCAGAACGGGTGTACCCTGAATGATTTTCTTGAAAGCCAGGAGTGCTTGGAATGCTGCCCTCAATTCTAGAATATTGGAAACCTTATTGACAGCCTGGAATGGCCACTGGCCCTGGGCCCAGTGAACTCCACACAGGGTTCCCCAGCCCGCTTTGCTGGCATCCAATTGGACCACTTGCCACTGTATCGCAAGTAACGAATGGCATTATAGGAGATTCTGCCATCTAGAGCACCATTCCAGGCTCATTCTCATCTGGGGAGTGGTTTGCGTCTTCTGCATAAGAGCCTTCAATCTCCATTGTTCTAAGAGTCCCACCTGAAGGGGGCCCATTTGACCATCGGAATAGCCGAGGTCATAATTCCTAACCGTCTCATACATTCTATTGCAGGAAGGTGGAGCCTCTTCTGGGCTATTGACATTGTTTTCAGGATGCCTGACATCTTGTCCTCCGGTAACGCCACTGATCCGTGTGTTCACTTCTGCGCCTAGGTATACCAGGTTCTGGGTTGGCACAAGGTGACTCTTCTCTCGGTTGATTAATCATCCAAAGTTCTCTAGTGTCTCCATGGTTAACTTCTGGTGTGACAGAAGCGTCTCTCTGTCTTGATTCAGGAGCAGAATGTCGTCCAAGTAGTGATATATTCGCACTCCCTGCGACTTTAGGTATGCCACTAGGGCCAGAGAAATCTTCATGAATACTCTGGGTGATGTGGTCAGCCCAAAGGGTAGGCATACAAACTGGAAGTGGAGCTGCCCTACCGCAAACCGTAGAAATTCCTGGCAGACTGGAGCTACTGTTACATGGAAATACGCATCCATGAGGTCCACTGATAGAAGCCAATCCCCTGGCTGAATGATTTTCAGAGTTGTCTGGAGAGATTCCATTTTGAATCTGTTTTTCTTGATATACATGTTGAGCCTCCTGAGGTCTATCACTTGTCTCCATGCTCCTGACAATCGGCTATAGGGAAGTTAGGAGCTTTTGAGGAGGATGGGAAGAGTTCTGAAGTAGTATATAAGTTGTGGTAGTACTAACATTTTAAAGGTGGCTAACCTGCCTGCCCATGACAGCTCAAAGTTTGATATGTGCTGTAGTTCAACGCTTCGTTTATTTAGAAGGGTGCTTAAAATTAGCTTCTGCTAAAGTTGTAATGGAAGTTGTTAAGGTAATAGCTAGTTATGGCAGTCCTTCAGAGGTCCAGGTATAGGGAAGAGCTTTTTCTAACTACCTTGGACCACTTTTCATGGGTCCTGATACCTGCAAACTGGGAACATCCCACAAGAGCTGTAAATTTGGACATGCTCCTAGTCATACAGCAGTTACAATTTGGGCCTTATCAAAGCCGCTCAAATTCTTATGCTTGGCCATTTTATCAGCCTTCAATGCATCAACTTCAGGGACAGCATGTTTACTTCCTGTCTAATATATCCCACCCATTTTCAGATGCCATTGTAATGAGATAATCAATGATATTCACTTTACCTGTCAGTGATCATAATGTTATGGCTGATTAGTGTAAATGTATGGCCAGTTTTACTGTTGTCATCCAGCAGAAGAAATCATTACGGACAGATCTCCCAGATGCTAATGGATTTTATTCCCTGCAGGTTGAAAAAGCTGGATGGAGCCTAGATGATGTGGATGTATTTGAAATAAATGAAGCTTTTGCAGCACAAGCATTGGCAGTTGTGAGAGAATTGGGGATAAACCCTGATAAGGTAAGATACCTTAATTTGTCAATCTTGGTAGCTGTGCCAAGCCCAGGGTTGAGATTTTCTAGGCCAAGTGGGGAAAGAAATAGTCCCTACCATGCACATTCTGAATTTGCCTTGCAGAGTCTTTGCAGTCAAGACTTTCATTGACTCACAAACTTCATGAACCTAAAACTAAAAAAGTGAGGATTTGCCATGTTATACATCTAGAAGTGTTAATTGTGCCTAAGCAGTATCTGGAAAATGGTTTACCTGTAAAATCCTTTTCTTGGGGTACATTAAAGGACACAGAGGAGTTAATATTTACGATTACTTAGGTTATGCAGGCCCCTTAGGTGGATAGACACTGGCCAAAACAATTTTACTTACACAATTGCTTATAATCGTACATCACAGTAGGTATCGCCTTAGTTTTCCTAAAACGTAAAAGTGTGTCCTTCCTTTGCCTAAACCTTCCTCCTCCAATCTCCCCACCACCACCAGTGGCAGTGTAATCTTCCAGTGTGCCAAGGGTTAATAAACGTACGCCTGCCCTCTCCGTCCAGCTGCTGCATTCATAGTAGCTGTAACTACAGCTTGGCATTGTGCAACTGCATCGTCACGGGCAGACCCCGAAGGTACACACAATCCATTGTAGAAGAACCAGATGAATTGCCTGAAGCTGCAGGATGTTGATTGGCAAGAGGTTCTCCAGAACACCTCCCTAGCCCTAAAAGCTGGCATCTGTTGTCACCACCTTCCAATTCATCCAAAAGAAGGATTTCCCAGTTTCCAACATAAGTGTGGATATCCACCATTCCATAGCTGGCCCGGTCTTGGGAGTCATTCATTGACATATCCAAGGACTCCTGACACTTGTCTCATACTAATAGCATATTGAGCTGCAGGGCTCTGGAAATAAACTGGGCATAGAAGACCGCATTAAATGCAGCTACCATCTTCCACAGCACCTTAAATAGGTGCTCCACCCAAAAGGGGAAGTTCCACTTTAAGGCCTCCTTCCCTGCTCCTAGTAAAGAAATGGCACATTTTATTAGGAGCGGGTACCTGATTTTGACAGGTACCCACGTCTGCTCCAACTGCCTAGGCCACGGGTGTCAAACTGGTGATCCTCCAGCTGTTGCTAAACTACAAGTCCCATGAGGCATTTCAAGATTGACAGTCACAAGCATGGCTCCCAAAGGCAGAGGCATGATGGGACTTGTAGTTTCACAACAGCTGGAGAGCTGCCAGTTTGACAGCCCTGGCCTAGGCATTTGGAAGAAGTTCTAACCCCCAAACCCTTTTGAGTCTTCTGGGACATGTGACCGGTCCCAGAAGACTGCGGGACCATTCACAATGCGTGGCATGTCTCGCGCATGCACAGTGGATGCCCGGTTGTGAAGCCGCAAGCTGCCACAGCCGAGTACCCACAGTTAACATGCCAGTGCCCAGGGACAGACATCAGGAGATGAGAACGGCTGGGGTGAGCACACCACTGGATCATGGGACAGGTGAATGGCTGTTTTTTAAAAGTCAGCAGTTACAGTGTTTTGTAGCTACTGACTTTTAATTTTTTACACAGGAGACTGGAGCTCTTCTTCAATGAAGGCTCCAATCAAGTGCCTTTCCAACGACCTCAGGAATTCCACCTGAACTTGAAGAAACAGGCAAATCAATTCAAAACTATGTGCTACGCTACCAAATCTGGTAATATAACTTGAACGAAGCTGGATTTTTCTTTTGAATTTCCACTTTTGCTTAAAAATGGCTATAGCTGTTGAATGAGATTTAGCTTGACCTGAAAATTACAGTAGTTGGAAGAGAACTTCATAGTCTGTGATACACTGACAAAGATGTAAGAATAGCTAGCACTGGGTCCTCGGGTTTCAAGGGACAAAGATAGTGGAGTTAGGCAAATAATTTGAGATTAAAATGTTACTAAATCCACAACCGTAAAATCAGTCTGTATATGCAGTAAAGCATGCTTGTTATACTCACTGTGGAACATAATGAGGTAATCATCTTCATTATGTAAAAAGGCTGTTTGATCCCGTCTTCTTTGATCCTTGCCTTCTTCCACAATCCCCAATCCATCTGCAGATAGAACAGAGCCTTGGGGGCAAGCTGCACATGCTCAGTTTGGTGTGTATAGCTAGAGAGTTTTTTTTCTCTTGGGAGACTGATTGTGATCAGCATTGTCCAGACAGAAGGTCAGAGATCCTGCAGCCTTATAGGACAATCAGGGGAGAATAAAAACTCTTCCCACAAGCTTTAACAAGTGCTCTGCTAGACACCAATAGAAGTCACAAGACTGCTATATACTGCTGATGAGAAGGTATTTAGCAGTTATATTTACTAAAATAATTGCATTTCCATGTTCTGTGTACTGTGGGAGACCAGATATAGTGAATGCAGTGTCCTGGGTTTTAGTAACATTTGAAGGGATTTCTGAAAAACAAACACACAAAAATCTTTGAGTCAACTTTGGTATGTTGCTAAAGCAGTTTCTTCTGTTACAGGTTAACATTCAAGGAGGTGCCATAGCTCTCGGCCATCCTCTCGGAATGTCTGGCTGTCGTATTTTGGTGACTCTCCTTTATGCTCTGGAAAGAACTGGTGGGAAGAAAGGAGTGGCTGCCCTATGTATAGGTGGAGGCATGGGAATAGCAATGTGTGTTGAGAGAACAAGCTAAAACCAACATTCTCCACATCTACAATTCTTTTTTTTTTTTTTCTCCAATTTTTAAGGTTCAGATTTTTTAAAACACATGGTAATAGGAAACCGCAACAGTTCTTGTTACAAAGATACACTATGACATTCCACCCAAGTTGGAAGTAATTTTAGATGTAACAATTTGTTTTTTTTAGCATTATTTTAACTTTTTTTGACAAAATATTCATGACCCTGCATTTGGCATCAAAACAAACTACAAGCAAGCAGAGTTGTTTTGTTACGAGGTAGTGCACAAGACTGTTGCATTTACTGTGTATGAGAGTTCAAAAAATAAAATGCCTAATGACCGTAGTGGTGAAATCTCCACAACCAACTTTCTAGTACTGCCCCATTTTTTCTGGCTATTGCAAGTAAAACAACTTGAAATTCTGTCTGCAGCTATAATGCCCAAGTGCCTGAGCGAGGAGGCTAGCAAGTGGGAAATTACACTTGTCAGTATCCCACTCAGAAATACCTGAAATGCCATTTATTGGTGTTTACAGTAAATGGCTTATAGCCCAATTCCAACCAAAAGGGTTATAGCGCCTGTTAGATTTATTGCCATTTGTGCACATATTGGGGAGATTTATTCTTGCTTCCTGTGATGACAGGAAGTGAAGGGAAAACTCCCCTAATGGAGGACATGGGCAAAAACACATCTTTAAGTGAGCAAGAGTTATAACCTATGACAATGTATTGATTGCTGCCCAGGCCTTTCAGATGTAAAAGGATAAGTTCACCTCTTGGACAAAAATAATAAATGCACTTTTTTTGCAGGTAAAAAAAATGGACAGTTATTTTTGTCCAAATGAGCCTGTAAAGCATTGCACCAGAGATCAGTAGATCGCTGATGCCATGCAGGTCTCCTGCAGACCTGTCAGAATATTTGCTTGCCGTACGGGATGTACAAGCAAGCAGATATACTGACTGGAAGCTTCTGTGAACTACCACAGTGCTCCACAACGCGGTGGTAGTTCATGGAAAACTACAAGCTAACAGCCGCTAAGGCTGTTGGGACTTGTAGGCACTTATTCACAGAACACTTGAGTGAGGCGGCCGTAACCCTGCTGTTTTCAAATCTGACAGGTAATACAGGGAGAAGTTTCTCTATACGGAGGAAGGGGGCAGCAGCTGCGGGAACATGTTACATAGTCCACCATAAAAACGGGTGGAACATGTAACATGGTCCAAAGATGACCTTATCTTTGGTAAAGGTGGTTGTAAAGGCTGAAGGCTTTTTACCTTTACATTCTATGTATTAAAGTCAAAAACCTTTTGTGCCAGAGGATCCCCCCAGCCGTGTAGTTTTAGTAGAGGGGGTCAGAACCTGTCAGGATTTTGCCAAGTGTTATTGTTTGGGAGATTCACCCTCTGCTGTACCATAACAGAGAGCAAGCACAATTTTTATTTTTTTAGCTTTAGGGTGCATTCATACTTGCAAATGCACATGTGGCGATTAGATGCGAGAACCAAAGCAGGGCTTCTGTCGGTTTGAGAGGCAGCCCCATTGAAAGCAATGGGAGGCTGCCAATGCCCACTTGCAAGTGATCACTCATGCAGTGATCAGCACTGGACACGGGCTGTGTCCAGCATTGATCGCTGCATGAGCGATTACAAGTTGGCGTAATTAGCTATGGGAGCCAGTAGCCTCTCATTGCTTTCAATAATTGCAGGAAGCCCTGCTGGGGTTCTAGCATCTAATCCCTGAGTGAGTGCATTTGCAAGTGTGAACACACCCTTACTTTTGGATTCCTTGCTACACTGTTGCTTGAGGTGGTGTCTGTACAGCAGCTATCCAGATATCAGCACTAGCTATAGACAAGGTACCAGGATTAGCCTGGAATGTGACTTTTGCACTGTGATACACTTGATATGGCAACCTTGTAGTGTTACTAAACCCATGACCCTCCATTCACTGTATTCAGTCTCACACAGTACACAGAAATGCAATTATTTTAGTAAATATAGACTGCTAAATACCTTTTCTTATCAGCAGTATATAGCAGTCTTGTGACTTCTATCAGAAGGCGTTTTCATTCTCCTCTGACTGTCCTAAGAGGCTGCATAACCCGACCCTCTGTCTGGACAGTAATGACTGGCCCTGTGCCAATCATATGGACCCTCTCCAGCAATACCAAACAGTACAGAGAGTAGCAGTGGCAAGTCTTCATATGCTCTATGGCAGATGGATTGGGGATGTCAAAAGAAGGGGAGGATCAGAGAAGACAGGATCAAACAGCCTTTTTACACAATGCAGAAGATTAAACCCTTAGGTTCCACAGTGAGTATAACAAGCATGCTTTACTGCATATACAGACTGATTTTACTGTTGTGGGTTTAGTAACACTTTAATGTACACACTGCTCAAACAAATTAAAGTAACACTTTGAAAACATCAGATCCCAATGAGAAAAAAATCTCATGCTGGATATCTATACTGATATGGACTGGGTAACGTGTTAGGAATGTAAGGATGCCCCGTTGGTTAATGGAAATTTAATTCGGTCATCTGTAGATTGATTTTAAGGACACCCAAAAATCAGAGTGAAAAAATGATACAGCAGGCTAGTCCATTTTGCTGAAATTTCATTGCAGCAACTCAAAATGGTACTCAGTAGTTTGTATGGCCCCCACGTGCTTGTATGCATGCCTGACAATGTCGGGGCATGCTCCTAATGAGATGGATGGTATCCTGGGGTATTTCCTCCCAGATCTGGACCAGGGCATCACTGAGCTCCTGGACAGTCTGAGGTACAACCTGGTGGCGTCAGATGGACCAAAACATGATATCCCAGATTTAGGTCAGGCGCGTGTGGGGGCCATTCGATGGTATCAATTTCTTCATCTTCCAGGCACTGCCTGCATACTCTCACCACATGAGTATTGTTGTGCAGCAGGAGGAAACCAGATCCCACTGCACCAGCATAGGGTCTGACAATAAGTCCAAGGATTTCATTCCGACACCTAATGGCAGTTAGGCTGCCATTGTCTAGGCTGTAGAAGTCTGTGCGTCCCTCCATGGATGTCTCCCTCAGACCATCACTGAAATGGTCATGCTGAACGATGTTACAGGCAGCATAATGTTCTCCACGGCTTCTCCAGACCCTTTCACATCTGTCACATGTGCTCAGGGTGAACCTGCTGTCATCTGTGAAAAGCACAGGGCGCCAGTGGTGGACCTGCCAATTCTGGTGTTCAATAGCAAATGCCAATCGAGCTCTATGGTGCTGGGCAGTGAGCACAGGGCCCACTAGAGGACATTGGGCCCTCAGGCCACCCTCATGAAGTGTTTCTGATTTGTTTTGGTCAGACATTCACACCAGTGGCCTGCTGGAGGTTATTTTGTAGGGCTCTGGCAGTGCTCATCCTGTTCCTCCTTGCACAAAATGAGCAGATAAAGTCCTGCTGATGGGTTAAGGAACTTCTACATCCCTGTCCAGCTCTCTAGAGTAACTGCCTGTCTCCCAGAATCTCCTCCATGCTCGAGACTGCTGGGAAACACAGCAAACCTTCTGGCAATGGCACATATTGATATGCCATCCTAGACTACCTGTGCAACCTCTGTAGGGTCCAGATATCACCTCATGCTACCAGTAGTAGTGGCACTGTCCCTAGCCAATGCAAAACTAGTGAAAAACAGTCAGATGAGTAGGGAAAAAATGTCAGTGGCCTCCACCTGAATTAAAACTGATTAACAACCCCTCTGCTACTTAACTGACCAGATCAATATCCCAGGAGTTTAATTGATTTGATGCTATACGCTGATTAAAAAGTGTTCCTTTAATTTTTTTTTTTTTTTGAGTATTTTAAGACAGTAAAGACTAACAGAAGTTCTAACCCTCCATAAAACATGTGGCTGGGAGTGTTTAAATGAGCATTGTACGAAGGCTTTTTTTTTAATGTTGTGTGATTTAATGGATGAAACATGTGTGCTCAAGCTAAGAATGTTACTAAGTGCCTTTAACTAGCATAATATGCATTAATAACTCAGTATTTTCTTCTAAACGCTTGTAGAGAACAGAATCCAGTAATATACCAGTGAAATAAAGGCACAAAGGAAGTAAATTGAAAGTTTGCTTTTATTTAAGTGTATGGGAGACTGGTTTCAGTGAGACCAACAAGTGCAAGATGAAAAATGAAACGGTTACTAGTTTATAAATTACAGTAATACAAAAACAAAGATACGGCTTTAGGACAGATCAACCTTCAATTGACCCAGACTGCACAGCTTCATGGTACTTCCCCTTTTCTTCTTTGCTCTCTGGGTGTAACTTAATCAGGTCATCAATTCGCAGGATTGTGATTGCAGCTTCTGTTGCAAACTTCAGACTCTTTGTCTTGACTACAGTGGGTTCAAATACACCAGCTTGCTTGTTATCTCGGGCTTTCCATTGAGCAAGTCAAGACCAATCCTAACGGAGGAGGAGAATATATAAACATTAGTGGCATGAACAAAGAAAATACAAAGCATGATAACTGCTGATATGGATTTATCGATAGAACTTTAAAGCTAACGTTTAGTTTAAAAGTTTTGCTTTATGTGCTGATGCACACCACATACACATCTTTAGAAAACCACGGAGTCTAGAAAACTTATTAAAATGAACCACTTGCCCTCCTGAGGATTTCCTCAGCAATCACCAGCTGGGATCTGGTGATTGACGGCCACAAATGGCGGTGCGAGTAAGGCATGTGCCTGACCTGGTGATTGACAGCCGCAGCGTGGGTAGGGCGCGTGCGCGCCCCCTACCCGTAAATGCAAAGTCATGTATGTATACACGTGCTTTTGTTCACCTCAGCCACCCTATCAGTATTTCTGCTATAGGGTGGACGAAAAGCAGTTAATAATGTCATCTCTGCAATCCGTTGCCAGCCATTGCAGTGCTTCCAGTTCCTGTTCTGGGGGAGAAGCTGCAACTAGCTCATCTGCCTTTACCCTACTCTATCCTTTTAGAATTATTCTGAACCCTGGAAAGTGGTGGACAGGTTTGTGGGTGTTACCTGCAATAGACTGTATACAAAAAGGAATCAGTCTAGAACACCCACATTTCCTAGCAGTGTGTATAACATATACACACACTTACCTTAACCATTTCCCTCCCGGCCTATGGTCAGATGGCAGCCGGCAAAATTCTTCAGCGTTCCGGGTGGAATTTAAATTTGGTAATTTTGCTACACTTCTCAAGCAGTTGTTATAAAAAAAAAATTTTTAAAATAAAGATCACACACACACTTGCCAAAAGCATTAGGACACCCCTCCAAATCATTGGTTTCAGGTGTTTCAATCACCTACATGGCCACAGGTCTATAAAATCAAGCACCTAGGCATGCAGACTGCTTCTACAAACATTTGTGAAAGAATGGGTCGCTCTCAGGAGCTCAGTGAATTCAAGCATGGTACTGTGATAGGTTGCCACCTGTGCAATAAGCCCCATCTGTGACATTTCCTTGTTACTAAATATTCCACGGTCAACGGTTAGTGGTATTATCACAAAGTGGAAACAACTGGGAACAACAGCAACTCACGTCACAAAAACTGACAGAGCGGGGTCAGCACATGCTGAAGTGTACATTGCGCAGAAGTTGCCAAATGTCTGCAGAGTCAATAACTAAAGGCCTAAAAAAACTTGTGCTAATCTGAAGGCTACACCAACAATGCATAGAGAGCTTCATGGAATGGGTTTCCATGGCCAAGCAGCTGCATCCAAGCCTTACATCACCAAGTGCAATGCAAAGTGTTGGATGCAGTGGTGTAAAGCACGCCGCCACTGGACTCTAGAGCAGTGGAGCCATGTTCTCTGGAGTGATGAATCACGATTCTCTGTCTGGCAATCCTTTGGACGTGTCTGGGTTTGGCGGCTGCCAGAACGGTACTTGCCTGACTGCATTGTGCCAAGTGTAAAATTTGGTGGAGAGGGGATTATGGTGTGGGGTTGTTTTTCAGTGGTTGGGCTTGGCCCCATAGTTCCAGTGAAGGGAACTCTTAAGACATTAGCATACCAAGACATTTTTAGACAATTTCATGCTCCCAACTTTGTGGGAACAGTTTGGGGATGGCCCCTTCCTGTTCCAACTTAACTGCACACCAGTGTACAAAGCAAGGTCCATATAGACATGGATGAGTGAGTTTGGGGTGGAGGAACGTGACTGGCCTGCACAGAGTCCTGACCTCAACCCGATAGAACACCTTTGGGCTGAATTACAGTGGAGACTGAGAGCCAAGCCTTCTCTTCCGACAGTGCCTGACCTCCCAAATGCGCTTCTGGAAGAATGGTCAAACATTCCCACAGACACACACCTAAACCTTGACAGCCTTTCCAGGAGAGTTAAAGCTGCAAAGGGAGGGCCAACTCAATATTGAACCCTACAGACTAAGACTGGGATGCCATTAAAGTTCATGTGCGTGTAAAGGCAGGCCGACCAATACGTTGGGCAATATTGTATGTGTTTATAAATTTTTTTTTTTTTTTTTTTGACTGGCATGTAATTAGCATGTTGGAACTGCATCATCTTTAGCTTTCCAGGGATTAAAGTAGCTCTTTGTTTTAGAGAGCTTGCACATTTTGTAATCTCAAACAATCTCGCCACCTTTGGAGGACATTATGCATAAAACAAGTTCCAACAGAAAGATCTATAAGCAAAGAGCTCAGCTTATATCCTTACCACTTAAGGTTTTTGCGTTCTGGATTGACCTGAGCCTCGTTATGGAAAGCGCGAAGTTTAGCGACCAGGTCAATAGAATCTTGAGCAGCATTCACTGCGAGTGTTTTTGGAATAACCAGAAGTGCTCTTGCAAACTCTGCAATTGCCAATTGTTCCCTGGAGCCCTAGAAGGAATAATTAAAGAGATGGGGAAAAAAACAAAAACACACAAAATCATGCAGCCACAACTGACACAAGGAAGCATCTATTTATAATTTAGTATTTTTCAATCCTATTAAACTGAACTACATTGGCAATTTAAAAAAAAAAGGCCCTGTCATCTGTCCATTCAGGCCAAAGTGACAGTGACTCCTTCCAACTTCAGAGCTCAGCCAAAGTATACATATCCACCCATCCATGCTCCTTTCATGCCATTACTTTGTTTCTCTAAAAAAGCAAAAAAAGAGTGGGCTAGAGAGGGCATGGTCACTCTGCCTCATTGCTCAATGAGATTAGTACGCTGGAAATGAGGAATGCCAGCAAGTGGCTATCGCTCAGAGGCATAGTTTAGGTCTAGGACAATTATTTAAAAAAAAAAAAAAAAAAAAAACACACACACATCATGCAAAGACTAAACGTGATGGCAGAATTCTTACCATGCTAGTAGCATAGTTCTCAAGATAAATGGAAAGTGCAGCCTCTACCGCTCCTCCTCCTGGTACCACAGACTTGGATTCTAGGACTCTCTTCACTACACAAAGTGCATCATGGACAGATCGCTCCATTTCATCACACATGAAGTCATTTGCCCCACGAAGAATAATTGAAGCACATGTTCTAGCCTTTGTACTGTAACAAAAATAGCCAATGTAGTTTAACCACTTGCCATCCTGAGGATTTACCCCCCTTAATGACCAGGCCATTTTTTTGCTGTTCGGCACTGCGCTACTTCAACTGATAATTGCGCGCGGTCGTGCAATGCTGTACTCAAACAAAATTTATGCCCTTTTTCACACACAAATAGAGCTTTCTTTCTGTAGTATTTGATCACCCTCTGCAGTTTTTACTCTCTGCACTATAAACAAAAAAGACCGAACATTTAAAAAAAAAACAACTTTTTCACTTTTGACTATAAAAAATATCCAAATAAACTCAGTCATAAATTTAGGCAAATATATTCTGCTACATGTATTTAATAAAAAAAATATCAATCCATGTATATTAATTGATTTGTGTTATTGCGTCTACAAACTATGGTATATATACTGGAATTTATGTAGCTTTTACTTTGACTGCCTATCACATTTCTTGAGATGCTAAAATGCCAGGGCAGTACAACCCCCCCCCCCCCCCAAATTGACCCCTTTTTGGAAAGGACACCCCAAGGATTTTGCAGAGAGGCATGTTGAGTCCATGGAACATCTTACTTTTTTGCCACAAATTATTTGAAATGACAATTTTAATTTTTTTTCTACACAAAAGTTGTCACTTCAATTATCTAATGCTCATGAATGCCATGCATATATGTGGAACAACACCCAAAATCACATTCTTCTATTTCTCCAGAGTATGGGGATACCACATGTGAGAGTTTATGGCAGCCTAGCTACTTACAGGCCACCAAAATCCAATGACCACCTCTAGGCTTTCAAAGGGCATAATTTCCTCATATTGCTTCCCCACTACCTATCACAGTTTCAGAGGCCCTAAAATGCCAGGCTAGTACAAACACCCCCCCCCCCCCCCCAAATGACCCCTTTTTGGAAAGTAGACAGCCCTAGGAATTTGGTAAGAGGTATGGTATTTTACAGATATCATTTTTGTCACAGGGTTTTGAAAAAAATAAAAAAACAAAACTTTTGTTTTCTTTCTTCATTTTCCAAAAACGTGGCAACAAATGAGATCTGTAAAACACACTCACCATGCCTCTTACCAAATCCCTTGGAGTGTCTACTTTCCAAAAAGGGGTCATCATTGGGGGGGGGGGGGGACTTCTACTATTCTGGCATTTCTGGGCAAACATTAGAAGCTTATGCCACACATCACCCACTCTTGAAGACCAAGTCTTACATTTTTTTTTTTTTGCGATTCTTCAAACCCCAAACATCTTTTGTTTATGTTCCTTCCCACTGCTCATAAAAAAACAATTCAGCAGCTAATTGGCCACTAGGATTGCTTTTACATGAAAGCCGATCACCAGCTGAAAAAAAAAAAACACAATACCAGGATGATGCCTGTAGCAGCAGGCATCATCCCAGTATACCCACTCAAAGTCCAGCGACATACCAGTACATTGCTGGTCCATGTTGGGCATATATTTAACAGCAAAGAACATGGGCATATGATGAATCCGGTCTGTGGACCAATATGACTGCAATTCATTATTTTTTGTAATGTCCATGTTGAGGGTATAAATTGCCTTGCCGTGCTCGCACATAGTGGTGAATGCATACGTAGGCCATGCCCACATATGTAAATGTGTTCAAACCACACACGAAGTATCGCCACGAACATCAGAGCAAGAGCAATAATTCTCGCACTAGACCTCCTCTGTAAATTTACACTGCTAACCTATAGAAATTTTTAAAGCATCACCCATGGAGATTTAAGTACCGCAGTTTTACGCCATACCACGAGCAATTTCAAAGCGTGACATTTTGGGTATCTATTTACTCGCCGTAACATTCTCTTTCATATTTTACAAAAAAATTGTGGTATATATTGTTTTGCTTTTTTTTTTTTTTTTTTAATCAAAGTATTTTTTTCCAAAAAATACATATTCATTTTTAAAAACTGAGCATTTTGGTTTTCGGCCAAGTGCATTTTGAATTTTTTGTTTCGGGACCAGAATTTTCATTTTGGTGCACCACTACAGATTAGTGTGGTAATAAAATGGAATAACCACCATCTAAAATGAGTTGAATGTCCACTTACTTTTTAATTAGGATCAGCTCATCATCACATATTCTTTCTTGTACAACTTCTTCAGCCTGCCCCAACATGGACACCTCAAAGCTTTCTTCGCCTTCCAGGTTACAAAGTGTTGAGCAAACAGTAGCTGTTAAAAGATAATTGTGCATTATGTAATCAAATTGATAAAATGTATTTGCACGTTGCCTCTAAACCAAGCCATAGAAGACACAATTTTCTTTTGCTTGATTCCCTCATCAACACAGGTAGGGTTAATGGGGGAATCCCCCCCTTACAGAACCATTGGGTTCTGCTGGCGGCGACCCTTCCCTGCCAGCAGAACACAATTACTGCTGGAGGCTATAGCCCAACATGGCTGACAGGCTGGTTGTACTGAACTTGATCAATAGAATCAGCCTACCCACAGATGGATTGAATCTCAGCCAGTCCCTGCTGGACCGGCCGCGATTCGATCCATCTATGGCCAGCTTTAGAAAACTATACAATACGGTTTATAATTTGATATACATTTTAAAACCAGAATCCTATCATCTAACAAGTAAAATGTGACAAAATCCTTAGACGTTTATACATCAATGCAGAACACACCTAGGCCTTGTATACACTAGCTTCAACCGATATAAAAGCTGTATGTACAGCAGGATTTTTACAAAATATTTTCACTGCTTTTTTAGAGCACCCTTCAGTTTTGGGAGCATTCACATACCCTATAGAAGTCATATCTGGAGGCTTTCAACAAGTTTCACGCAGTGCTTAAACCTACCTCCAGTAGCTTTTGCAATACGTTTCAAATCCCTTTTAAGAACTCTTCGTACAGCCATTGCACCTGCATCAACAAAGTACTTGAGGCACATATCATCAATGCCACCAGTAGTAAGAATAACATTTGCCCCAGTCGCCAAGATCTTCTGGATTCTCTCCTTGGTAATGTCAGATTCCCTATAAGGACACAACAAAAAATGTAAAGAAAACAAGCGCATGCACAGGACAGTACAGCAAAAAGGGCAGAATTTTATTGGACAATTTTACAAGCTGATCTGAGTGCACTGCTTGAGTGGTGACTTCGCAAAGGTAAAATGCTGAAGCCTATTAAAATTGCAAAAAAAAAGAAAAAACAAAAAAGAGAAAATTTACCTGCTCGATGCAATTGTATTGCACAGAGCAGTCACATACTTCCTATTCTGGAATCCCCAGCTGGCACTCTCTCTGCTCCTTCTTTCTGCAGGTGTCCCCATTGCAAGCCCATATGTATGGAGGCATCCATACAGGCACACTCCCAAGCTTGGCTGTGTGCAGAAAAACTGAAGGGGCATGCCAAGATGTAAAATGTATTCCTACCTTGAGAAGAAGCAATATAATCTCTATGTATAAACAATCAATTCACTTGTCCACTTGAAGATAGCAAAATTGTGACTGGAGGAAAAAAAGAGGTTTAACCTCCACAAATGGAAAGAGTTCTTTATAGTAAAAGCTGTAAAAATGTCCATTCCAGTGAACTTGGATGGTTTAAAAAAGTAAGTGAATATTTTTACTTGTTTGTTATGCACGTCTTTCAATGCGATTTCGTAAATAACAAAACTATATTGTACTGTGCATTAAGATATTTAACAAGCACAATCAGCGCTCAAGTCCAGAGTGAATAATCCATTAAGTTCACAAAGCAGATGGATGGATGGCTGGAAAGGTGGATGTGAGAAAAACACACTGTCCGGCAGCTCCTAGCCAGTGGATCTGGGTAATCCCTCACGAGCATACAAAGGAAACAGAGCAGGGCGCCAGATTAGTGTATGGGTAAAAACACTTTATTGCCATTTCTCACTTACATCTGAAAGACCTGTAGACTGCTCCAGGTCTGCTGTTATTGTCATGAGTTAAAGGAGATGCCGCAGATTTACCATCTTGCAGTGGGTCCGTTTGTGCCCTGCAGCCCTATCAGTCCATCCAGATTGCAGAGAGCTGTATATTGCACCACCACTCTGACACCTGGAGCAGTCTACAGGTCTTTCAGATGTAAGCGGGAACTGGCATTAAAGTGTTGTTTTTAACCATACACTAATCTGGTGCCCTGCTCTGTTTCCTTTGCACACTAAGATAACTAAACAGGAGACAATAGCAGTCTAACTAAAGTCATAGGCTGCAAGTATATCAATGTACAGCTTCTGTGAAACTAGGAAGCATATAAGGTACTCTTCAGCACAAAAACAGAAGCCCATCAATACTTTACCCCACGCGTATAACTGTTCACACCACTAGTACTGTGTGGCAGCAATTGAAATGGGGAGAATTTACTACAATAGGTGGAAAGACCCCTAAATGCAACATGTTTTAACAATGTGAATAATAAACTGCTCAAAAATGCAGAACTAAAATATTGAAAAAAAAAGGTCCACTGCATCACCTTGGTATTACGAAGCATCTTCTTAAATACTTGAAACCATCTTCTCCCTTTTTGAGGGGTTTGCTTCCATCTTTACACTACATTCACACACTTAATAAGCAGATCAACAGGATAAAGCCTATTCAAATCCCTAGGATCCTTAGGCTGCCCATACAGAAGTCTTTTTTTCATTCAACCAGCAGTTGGGAAAAAGAAAAACAAAAAAAAAAAACAACCTTATTCTTGCTAAACTATTGTATTCTGAAAGCAGGGAGACTTCCCCATTGTCATAACACATTGATTTGTGCTGCAGTTTATAATCTGCAGGGCTGATCAAGCAGGTAAAAGTCCAACAGGGTGGTTGAACAGAAGTTAAATCGGTAGGTTGAGTTATGCAGTACACACAGTGCCCATACATGGATCAAAATTCAGCTGATCCCTGCTGAGCCAGCTGAATTTGAAATCATGTATGGCCAGCTTTAGAAAGGATTTATAGTGGTGATTCTGCACAATACTGTGCACTCTATGCTTGCTGTGTTTTATTACCACCATCAGATACGTCATGAGCTGGCAAGGATTAGTAGTGCACCCATATTCAATAGCAGCGAGCATGTATTTGCAAAGATTCCTATAGCACTGCACAGCATCCTAAAAACTCTCAAATATAAAATAAAGGGTGACTGAAGACAAATCTCAAGCCATTATGCCTGGAGGCAACCTAAATCATTTTCAGTGCAATACTTTCAAAAGCACAGAAATTTCCATATTGTTAATTGCTAGTGTACACAATAGTGTAGGGTTCAAAAAAGCTACTCCTGATCTTGCTTCATAGGCAAGGTGTTGAAACGATGTGCATACCTTTGTCTGATTTGATCCAGCTTAGATGGGTCTGAAATGATAACTTGTACACCAAGTTTCATTTTTGTTTTCTGCAGACTGAAATCTAGACAGGCAATTTTTGCATTTGTGATCCTTTTGTTCATCCCTGAAAAATAAAGTAGACACAGAAAGGCAAAACTGAAAATTTGGCCTAACCAGGGCAGCAATAAACCATCTGATACAATTACAAAAGACTTGTACTGAAAGAAATACTGACAAAATGCTAGTTGCTTGGCTATCACTGGCTTCAATACTTTGAAGTCAATGACCCAGAAGAAGTATGCAGTCAAGAGTGCCTGAACTACATAATTGAGTTAAAGATTTAAAGTTTTGAACCTATTTAATCAGTGTCATACTAGGTAACAGCCATTAGAAGGGGTCAGCATTGGCAACCTATTTTTCTGATATTGGCTCACTTCATAATGAGAAAGTCAGACCATAAAGTATGCTTGCACAGCAAAAAGGTTAAATTTACCTTTCCTTAAAAATAAAATAAAAATGCCCATTTAATTTTTTTTTTTTTTTTTACAGGAGCCTGCAAAGCATTATATGCGCGATAAGTGCACACATTGCATGCGCGATAAGAGCACACATTGCCTAAAACTCTCTGCCCCTACCTCTGTACAGGTAGACAGTTCCTGAGTTGTTGGCAATGCAATACAAGCATGCTGGTCAGTGTGTTCACAGTTCATGGATGCTATAAGTCCGTCTACCACAGTGCCATATGGGACTCGAAGTTTTCTCATGCACAGATGCCTGTGAATAACAGATGGCTGTGCCAGCAGAAAAAGCTCCCGCCCGCTGTCAGAGGGTGAAGGGAGGATGTTGTACAGTAACATGTTACATCCTAAATGTATGCAACATGTTAATAAAGGTGACCCCATCCTTTAAACAGCCATTACACTTCATATACAGTCAATCTAACAAAATTAGTCATGGGGAGATTGGAACAAATGAAATTAAGCTGCTTAGTAATGGCATGCCACTGAAACCATAAGGCTGCTTTCACACTGGAGTTTTTGAAGCGTTTTTGCATTAAAAAAAAAAAAAAACACATTAAAAGCTAGAAAAAAAAACTGCTTCTCTGCGTTTGTTAATGTATATCTATGTATGTTTTTACACTGAGGCTTGCAGCGCTTGCAGCATCTTTGAGGCATTTTTGGGGAGTTAAAAAGAAAATGCCTCTACCCACTAAAATTAATGGTAACAAAATCAACATGGAAACAAGGTGCTTTTGGTTTGGGGGGGGGGGGGGGGCTAGCCCTGGAAAGCTTGGTATGGATGGAGGGGCCACGCCGTTTAATTTTTAATTGCCAGCAATTCTTTTTACATTCATTAACTCACGTTTTTCACTACTAAAATTCTGTGTGACTTGATAAAATAACTCACGCAGTATTTTAGTAGCGTTTTTTTTTTTTTAGGGAATTCTGTTTTCTTTTTAAATGCTATGTGGTATCCTACTGTATACTTGGATGCGGTAAGATACCGCTTATTGAATTGTGCCCAATATCACCTATTCCATCATTTGTTGCTAGGTTTTGGAAATAAAAACTTGGCAAAAATGTGCAAATCTGCCCAATTTGAGCTACAAAAGTCACATGTCCAGGATGTTCCGCTTCAAAAACGCCTAAAAAATGCTAGTCATTTTTCAAGCTATTTTGAGGCGAACCACAGCAAAAGCAGCCTTATTGAATACTACATGTACCCAATGACTAATGAGAATGTAGTGATTGTATGGAAAAGAATCCAATCTGCTAGTTGTAAGTAATTGAATGAACCCTGGGGTGGAGCTAAGCTCAACTATTTGCAGCACACTCTGGAACAGCGGGAGGCAATCAGCAGATCTCCAGGTGGAACTGCAAGTCCCATTACATCTTGCCAGCCGGCAAGTATACAATGTAAACCACAGTTGGCAGGATATACGGGGTTGTAAATCCAGATGAAATGTACTGGTCTGTTAACAATAGCGGAAGTAAGTGGGTAAGCCTAGCCAATAATCTGAGGTAGGTTACTTTTAGCTATGCCAGGATGGGAAAGCCAAACGTTGGCTACAAAAATTATATCATGTTACCTTGTGAGCCCACCACACAGTTAAGTGCATAACCATTGACAAGAATGCTCTCCCTCTGACTCCGGCCGTGAGCTTTCAGGACATTAATAGAATTGATGGGGTACCGAGCCAGACCCTTAGGATCCACGTACTTAACTGCAAGTGCAGCATCAACCACCATGGTAGCAAAAAAGTCACTGTCGCTAAACAAAGAGTCAAGGTGAACATATCAAAAATGGCAGAAATTTTTCGCTCACATGGGAACGATGGAAAGCACAAAAGTACCTCAACAATTATTCCAAACAGCTTTGCAAAAAAGTATTTATATTTTCTCTCTCTCATTGTACAGGATTACCTCAACTAGTTCAGATATCCCCTCAGAAATTTGTCAGGATTCATTCACACCTATGCATATTTATACCATATTTATGGTAGTCTTATGTACTTTGAGAGGGGAAGAGCAAAATAGGCTGTAAGTCGAAACAGTGATTTTAATATTGGTTTCCTCTTTAAAAAGGCAATTTTTTAAACATTGCCTTTTAAACACTCCCCCAGCCCCCTCAATACTTACCTGAGCCTCCCCCAGGCAACCCTGGTTCCTTCTCTTCTGTGTCTGCCACAATAGCAAACCATTTGCTAGCCACTACCACCATATCAAGATACTTGCTATGGGGCAGATGGGTGGGCTAGATGCCAAGCCGGGTTGTGTGGCTCTATTGATATGTAGCACAGCTGAGCCCCACTCCCTCCTCACAGGATTTAACTGACAGCAGCAGGAGCCAATGGCTCCCTCTGGTGCCTCAATCCCTGTGAGTAGAGGGGAGAGAAGATGCAACTGGGCACAGCAATGGATTGCCTGAGGACAAGTATAAGGGAGGGCAAGTATTTAGGGAGGTGGGGGAGCACAGCAAAGTGCATTCAAGTAAAACACGTTTTCGTAATGAATCATATGAAGAAAGTGAAAAGGATACACTCCAATAATCTTAGAAGACATTGATGTCTTGGCAGCATTGAGAAGACACTCTTTGCCAAGCTCATCAGTGTTGATTGTGAGATTTTCATTGATGTATCGGACGGCTTCTCTTTTGAGAAAAGAAAAACAGATGGCACACTTAGTACACAAAACAAAAACAAATAAAAATGGTTGTTGAAATTACTTACATAGCAAGGTTAACAAACAGTTCTATTCCATATGCAAAGACTATTATAAGAGTGTACACAATGCCAATTCCTTAAGTACATTCAGAATTGGGTTTAAAAGGGTAACTAGAGCACTGCCTAATCTTTATAGCTGCAATCTCAGAAAAAGGTACTTTAAATGCATAAGTGTTGCTTGGGGCATACTGTATGCACCAGAATTTGAAAGACTTGCTACTCTGGGCCTCATGGAGAAATAGTGGTTACTCTGTTGGTAGTTTTCTAGCAATTTGACCTAGCTGTGGGTAACAAAATTACAAACAAAAAAAAAATGTACATCAAAAAGTGCTGAGCTAATAGATTTAAAAAAGAAATTGGAATACACTGAATACATTAAATCCCAAAATACATAAAATCATAAAGCACCAGTGCACTAATCCAGTGAATTTCCAAACTTCCCAAAATAGGCATGCAGGCATTAATCTTATTAAGGTGAAATCTGCCTCCAAGTGATTCACCACCTCCAAACAAGATGAGAGGCTTACTGGAAACACAAGACTCATTATAGAGGAGCCATGTATCGCACGAAATGATAAAGGTGGGTTTGAATCTGTTTGGTGGCGGACAGGGAATAAAGTTTTTTGACTAGGTCCAATATAAGCTTTTGTATGTATACGGCAGTTTGCCAAGTTTTGCCATACAGAAGCAACATTAAAATGCAAGCCAGATAGGTCACTTTTCAGGTGATATTTCACACAAATGTCTAGAATCTGTAGGACAATAACTCCTTTTCAATGGCATAGCCATCACAGAAGGCCTGATTTCAACATAAAAACAGAAAACGAAGCCTGTGCTGTTGCCATCAAGAGGTAAGAACGATAACCTCACAAATGTATCACAAAGTGTTTTAATAAGAACATAGCATGGAGCAAAATGTAGAAATCTAAGAAAAAAAAAATATATATAAAGAGTAGCAAGATAACCCACTTGCAAGCCAGACGATATCCCCCAATGATAGATGTGGGGTGAATTTTCTGTTTCACCAGTTCGTCAGCATTCTTCAGCAATTCCGCAGCAATAATTACCTGTGCATAGAACACTGCTTTAGGTAAAGGAATGTAAAAGGGCCATTACAACTTTAATAGGTCATTTAGAACAAATCATTTTTCAGTTTATAATTGCTTAAAAGTTCACCTTTTGGGAAAAAATAAATGCAAATATTTTTGCAGAAAAAAAATAAGTGCATTTAATTATTTTTTCTCAAAGGAGCCTGGAAAGCATTGTACCCATGATCAGTGGTTCAGGGGTGCCATGGCAGACTCCTGCAGATAAGCCCTGCAGCTTTCAGCCTGTGCCTTCATAAAGGTTGATGGTTTACAAGCTACAGGACTTGTGAATGAACTGCATGGCCACTCATTAGTGACCTTGCAGTCCATTCAGTACTATAAGCTGTCAGCTGCCAAGGCTGACAGTAGCTGTAGTTTGTGCATTCACAGGAAATGGTGAATGAATGATGCAGCCGTGTGGGTGGAGTATTAGCTAAGAGGGAGAGAAACGTATGTTGGAGAAACACTGGGATAATAGTCAGTGACAGTGTGTAAAGGTGTATGTGCTTTGTGTGTCCTACGTGTGCGGATGTTGCTGCGTTCTCAGATAGAGATATTTAATCAAACTTACTACTGATGTTGTCCCATCTCCAACTTCAGTGTCTTGTAGATCTGCCAGTTCACAAAGGACTTTGGCTGCCGGGTGTTCCACTTCCAGCAACTTCAGAATGGTTGCCCCATCATTAGTTATAGTTACATCCTATAAGAATAAAGTATGACCCAAATTAAAATAAATATATAAAATATATATTATATATTTTCCCCCTTTTTGCACAACCAACTGCCATGCCCATTATATTTCTAAGTTTTTGTGTGTTTCTAGTTCAAAGTACAGTACTGTTAAAGCCTAGATGATTTTTAGTGAAAAGGGGTTGGTGATGCATTTTAATAAAAAGGCATAAGATGACTACTCTTGCACTCGCCCCCACCTACTTAAAATCATGAAAAAACACACACACACACACACACAACACCAGGGTGGATTTGATTTAAATCACGATTTAAATCACTAGTCAGTAAGGCTTGATTTAAATCTACATAAAGACCAATTCTTGCTGGTATAACTTTAATATGCAAGTAGATGAACAACAACTTTTCATATTAGTTTTTTAATCCCCAGTTTAATAGGTTAATCATTTGTATTTGGACAACTTTTCTGTTGTACTTAGGAAGGAGAAAAATAATCATTACCTTAATAACAATTTAAATAGATTTATTCAACTGAAACAATAACATTACAGCATATGTTATTTGCTTAAACAAACATCCATGTTTGTTAACTAATTTGGCTAAACAAAATATATATTTTTTAAAAAACTTAGACTGTCAGCCCCTTCCTCCTCACACTTAGTTTCACTTTCTTCTTGTGCAGATCTATTCCACTCCAAACAATCAGAAAAATATTGTTTCTATTCTATTTACTGAACTTCTTGAAACTTAGCACTGAAGGGGTTGATTCTGTATTCATAGGTTTGTAGAAGTTAGGATTAAGGTCTTTTTCTTAACTCTGTTCATGTTATAACATTTTTGCTGTGAAGAAGAGCATGTGATCTCCGCTGAGTCAAATTCAGTTTTGAGAACTGCAAAAGTAAACCAAGCATCTGTGATAATATCTTGTAGGCAGAGAAACTGCCCAATAATCTTACAAAAACCTCTGGAAGAGCATGACATTGTGAATGGATTCATGGAATTTATTCACCAAAAAAATTAAACATATACAGCCTTATTCTACATAATTAAAAAAACGAATCTTTATTTCATGATGGAATAACCTTTGGATGGTAATATATTTTCCTCAAAAAAAAAAAAAATCCGATTTAAATAAAAAAAAAAATCCGATTTTTTTGATTTTTTTTTAAAAATCATTGATTTTTATCCACCCTGCACAACACACACACATTGTGATACAAAAATATCTCGGCTGCCGAAAATAATTGACCAAAAATTGGGCTATTGGCATTTTGCCAATAGGAGGGGAAAAAAAAAAAAAAAAGTGCCAATAATGGCACGTTGTGTCCAACAAACTGCAATGCAAAATCACGTCCCATAGACTGCAATGCAAAAACACCAGCCACATTACCTACAATTTTTAGCATTTCTTGAAAAAAAAAAAAAAAAAAAAAAAAAAAAACTTTCAGTTTTTGGCTAAGTGCATCCTGAATTTTCGGTTCCAGCACCAGGATTTTCATTTTAGTGCACCACTAGACAGGACCCATATACACCCAATCTTCTGGAACACTGGGGAATTAAAAAGAATGGGCTGCCAACAACCAAAAAGCATACAACGCAGGTGAAGAGGTACACTTCCATAATGCACTGGGGTGCTAAAAGGACCCCAATGAAATGCATGAATGGTGTGTTGTTATGCATCAGATAGGTGTAAATTAGACCAGCTTATGGGGGAGGTCGCAGACGGGGTTCAATCGCAGACGGGAGGCAATTTTCCTGTGTGAGTGCATTGTCTGCTGGAGTGTGAAGCAGCAGTTGAACACAGCAGTTTAAAGCAGGAGAACTCAAGCAGCAGGAAGATTCAACAAAGAACTCTACTGCACGCTGGATGGGCTGCAAGTAAACACCCTGGGATACATCTCCTACAAGTTTGATTCACACTCAATGTACCTTTTAAAATGCCCCCTCTACTCCCTTTCAGATTACTATCCTCTATTCTCAAAATCTGATTTCTTTACCCCTCTGCTCCACCCCAAAGCTTATACATATCACCATCACTTCTACCATCTCCCTACTACTGCTCTTATCGCCTCCTGCTGATACTTTACTCACCTGCTGACCCAAACACCAGGACAGGAAGGCATGTGCACTCATACACATCCTGCTCCCACCTTACTTTCCTCACTCTCCTCCTAAACTCTGGGGATATCTCCTCAAAACCCTGGTCCTCCGGTATCTTACCCCACACCAGGCACTCTCCTTCCTCCGGGAATACTAGCAATCCACTTAATTTAATTTCTATCCCCGTGCTCCTAAAAACCATCCTCCCTTTTTCATGTGCGCACTGGAATGCCCGCTCTGTCTGTAAAAAGCTCACCTCTGTCCATGACCTTTTTGTCTCCCGCTCCCTTAACCTACTAGCAATTACAGAGACCTGGCTTCAAGCAGCAGATTCTGTTTCTCCAGCAGCACTTTCCTATGGAGGCCTTCTCTGGATTCACTCACCCAGTCTCAGGAGTCGGAAAGGAGGTGAAGTTGGTTTGCTTCTATCCCCACTGAGCACCTTTCAAGTCCTCCATAACCCTCCCTCTCTATCCTTCATTCTTTCGAGACTCACTGCATTTGGCTGTTTTCTCCCATTTCTCTAAGGATTGCAGTGATCTACCAGCCTCCTGGACCGGTGTCCCACTTTGAGGACTTCTCTGCCTGGCTACTCTACTTTCTCTCCTCTGAAATACCCACCATCATTCTCAGAGATTTTAACCTACCCATTAATGTTAACAACCCAGCTACATCCCAACTCTTCAACATAACCTCATCTTTTGCCTTAACACAATGGACACAGTCCCCCACTCACTCTGATGGAAATACATTAGACCTTGCTTCTCCCATCTTTGAACTCCCTACAACCTTACAAACACCCCCTTTCCTCTCTCTCATCACAATCTCATCACCTTCAGTGTCCTCGTCACATCTTCAATCTCTCCCTCTCTAATGGTGCCTTCCCCACCCCTCTAGAGCATGCACAGATCACTCCCATACTAAAAAACCCTCCCTGGACCCCCCCAACCTGAACAAATTAAGACCCATCTCCCTGCTCCCGTTTACCTCTAAACTCTTAGAACGCTTAGTCTACAATCGCTTCAGCTCCTACCTGACAACAACCTTCTTGACCCTTTACATTCTGGCTTTTGCTCACTACACTCCACTTAAACTGCCCTACTAAAACTCACTAATGATTTCCTAACTGCTAAAACCAATGGCCACTACTCCGTACACTTACTACTTGACCTATCTGCGGCTTTTGATCCTGTTACCATCCCCTCTTCCTCAAAAAACTCCACTCTCTCTTGCCCTTCGAGACTCAGCTCTCTGCTTGTTCTCCAACCTATCGCATTGCTCCTTCAGCATTACCTATAACTCTGTCTGCTCCTCCTCTAGGGGTCCCTCAAGGTTCTGTCCTTGGACCCCTTCTCTTCCCCATCTACACCTCCTCCCTGGTCACTTGATAAACTCTCACGGCCATCTCTATGCTGATGACACACAAATCTATCTTTCTATTCCTCTCCTCATCCCTTCAGTCTCCTCTCGCATTACTAACCTAAGTGACATATCGGCATGGATGTCATTCCACTTCCTCAAACTCAATCTTTCTAAAACTGAGCTCTTAGTATTCCCTCCGTCCCGTGCCACCTCCCCTGACTTCTCCATCAACTTATTCACTCCCTTGTTATCTCTCACCTTGACTATTGTAACTCCCTCCTCATTGGCCTACCTAAATCGCAGGCTATCCCCTCTTCAGTCTATCATGAATGCTGCTGGCAGACTCATCCACATTACTAACCGTTCCATATCTGCCATCCCTCTCTGCCAATCTCTCCACTGGCTTCCCATTGCCCAACGAATAAAATTCAAAACCTTAACAATCACATATAAAACCATTTATAACTCTGCCCCAAGTTACATCACCAATCTTGTCTCCAAATATAACCCAAACCGTCCTCTCCGCTCCTCCCACAACCTCCTGCTTTCTAGCTCTCGTCTCCTCCTCCACTGCTGGTCTCCAGGACTTCTCCAGAGCCTCCCCCATCCTCTGGAACGCTATACCCTAATCAGACTATAGCCTACTCTGCCCACTTTTAGGCGATCTCTGAAATCCTCTTTTCAGGGAAGCCTATCTCGCCTTCAGCTAATAACAGAATCTTCTATTCCTTCTACCAGTCCATCTCCCACAGTTATTACAGTTTGTAACACCAGCCCCTTCCTCTTAGATTGTAAGCTCCAATGAGCAGGGCCCTCCTACCCCTCTTGTATTTAACTGTATTGTGTCCATTTATTTTGTAAAGCGCTGAGCAAACTGTTGGCGCTATATAAATCATGTATAATAAATGGACCCTCAAGGTTTTCCTTCAGCAGTTTACTCTGTCCGACTTAGAGAAGTACCCTAGAAATCCTCAACACATACATCTTTTTCCATGGGACCAATATAGTTTTCTCCATATATTCTTTGTAAATGAACACCAAACCTAAAATCAGCAAAGAAACCTTTTCTTACAAAAGATGTTCTGTTATTTCATATAGAAGAAGATCAAAAGACATCTACTCCTTCAGACGATAACAGATGTTGCTCTATCCCATTAGCATAGCCACTTATTCTATGGAATGAAAAAGTGGTACTAAAATGGGACTATAGATAATAAAAAGAAAAAACTGTAATATTACTTGATATTTGCTGGCTGTGCACTCAGGACCCAAAGATGCTAGTCTGGTAATAGTTACTACCACCAATTTAAGAATTTATTCAAAGAATTATTGCAAGTTGGACTAGGAACCTGGCAGCGATTAGCTCTGAGCAAGTATACAGGGAGCTGCCAGTGCTCAGAGTGAGGCATGTGTGTTCAGGGAAGCGGTCATAAATGTGATCGCTTTCAACACAGGACCATATCCTTAACTCTATTCAGCAGGTATTCCCTGACCCAATGATGGATGTAAACAAAGAGGGATGGGTAATGAGTCACAGGGAAGGCAGAA